TGAAATATTGCATTTGAAATATTTCATTCACATTGCTGCTAGTGTGAAACCCCTATTACAAAAAAAAAAAATGAAATCAAAAATAAAATAACCTGGCAACAAATCAAATTCGTTTTTCTTTGCCTATATTTCGAATCCGGTTAGGTCAATGAATATTATTTCAAATTACAAAAATTTCACAAAATTTAATTTAAAAAAAATGAAATTTTACATTTCGGTTACAAACGTAATGAATGTGTTTAACATGTTATAGAGAGGTAGTCGTAGTGTCAGTAATAATAATGACAATTAAAAGAAAAAGAAAACATTACAAAAATATTACAAGCTTTTTGTCCTTCAAAATTTTCTTTCAATATTGCTTCTTTTCAATTTCCTAATTTTTTTTTGTTGTAAATCTTGCATCTTGTAATTTTCTTCTTATTCTATCTATCTATTCAGTGAGATAAAAAAAATTACATTCAATAAATTATTTGTCACCAAAGTAATCTTGCATTTCATTAGATATTCTGTTATATGGAGAAGAGGGGAAAGCAAATTTGCAAAAATTCATCACAATTATAAATGTGAGAAATTCATTGAAATTAATCAATCAATCAATGTTTACATTGATTTGATTTGATGATTGCCATTCAATTGGATTTTTTCAATTATTCACTGGAAAAAATGAATGATTTTCATTCGTTTAATTTCCATTCGTTGAATATTGTCAATCGTCGAGGTAAAAATCAATGATGATGATGATAAATATCCCACTTGGCCATGGATATGATGATGATGTTTTCAATGAATTTTTCTCATTATAAATAAATGATTACTTTTGGGAAACAACAAGCTAAATCTTCATTCAATTATTTCATCATTATTATTATTTTTTCAATTCAATTGTTAAATTGTTAAATGAAATGAAATGATGATGATGATGATTGTTGATTGTTGTTGGTCAATTTCTCCTTGATCGATTGACACTTTACTTCTTTTTTATGGTCATCATCATTATCAATTCTTGATTGTAAAAGAATTTTTTTTTGCTGTTAAGTTTTTCATCATTAAATTTTCACATTTTAATGTACCCATATTTATCATCATCATTAACATCAATGATCGATTGATGTCCGGATGCTATTTCTTTTTCTTTTTTTGTTGTTGATTGCAATTTTTCTTCATTATTGTTATTGCCATTTGTAAAAATGGTTTTTCATCATCATTCAATTTTCCAAATTGATCAAAATTTGATTTTAATAATAATGATGATGATAATGATGATATTGAAACCTTGACATTGAGAAAAAAAAATATTTGAAATGAAATCATTTGATTGAAGTAGAGAGATTGATTTTTGATATTGGATTGCATTTTCTGGTTTTTCTAATCACCTTTGATATGGGAGAAAAAATTATACGCATTTACTATGATGATAATAACAAAAAACATTTGAAAAATAAATAACAATTTTTCTGTTTTTTTTTCACTTAGGTTGGAGCATTAAATTGTCATTATATATTTTCGCATAATCATGTTAGTAAACGTTCAGCAGAATATTCTCATAAACATCATCGTTTATTGGCTAATGATGAACAGGTATTTTTTGGGAAAAGAGGAATATTTTTAAATTGTTTTTAATTATGATTTTTTTGGTTCACTGATTGAAAAAGGTACATTGGGTTGAACAGCAACGAATCTATGTACGTGAAAAACGTGATAATCAAAAATCTAGTTATCGTTATAGACGTCAAATGCCTGATCCAATTTTTCGTGATATGTGGTATTTGGTAAATTTGATTTTATTCTTGATCCAGTTGGATCTGGTTCTTCAAATCTGATGATTCTAATTTTCTTTTCATTTTTTTCAACCCGTCCTGTCCCCCCCTATCCAAATATTTGTCATCAATATAGAATAAAGGAGCCCGTGGTGGTTTCGATATGAACGTTCAAAATGCCTGGAAAATGTAATGTTATATTTACATTTGTTGTTGTTGTTGAACAAACTGTTTTTTTTGTCAAACAACAATGACATTATATACCATTAATTATACCTTTTTATAATGAGTTTCTTTTGTTTTACCTTGATTTTTTTTTCTTTTCGAAATACAGAGGTTATACTGGTAAAGGTGTTGTCGTTACTATTCTTGATGATGGTATTCAACCTAATCATCCAGAACTTGTCAGAAATTATGTAATTATTATTATTATCATTTTCTTCTTTCTTTCCACATAACCCCTTAAATTAATATAATGTAGTAATAATTCTAATTGGTTTTTTTCTCCCTCTCATTTTTCCCCTTCCATATTCTATCTATTCTTTTTTTTGTATGGAATATTTTCCCATTGAAAACTTAAGGATCCTCATGCAAGTTATGATATTAATGATAATGATCCTGATCCTACTCCTGCCGATAATGGTGATAATAAGTAAGTGAATGAAATGAAATGAAAATGAAAATGATGATTTTGTCATTTTTTCCCCTTTATATTCTGCATTATCATCAATAAATACTACCGAAACTAATGATCATTTTCATTTGTCATTTTTTCTTTTCAAAAAAGACATGGAACTAGATGTGCTGGTGAAGTTGCTGCTGAAGCTTATAATGGTATGTTTACTTTTTTTTCTATAATTCCTTTTTAAAGAAAAATATTATTTGATGATTGATGATTTTCCATTTATAAATAATATTGTGTTGTTGAAATGGACAAAATAAATAAATGCCATTTTCCGTAAATAGATTTTTGTGGTGTTGGTATAGCATTTAATGCTAGTATTGGTGGTGTACGAATGTTAGATGGAATTGTTACCGATCAAGTTGAAGCTCGTGCCATTAGTCATAATCCACAATATGTAGATATTTATTCAGCATCATGGGGACCTGAAGATGATGGTAAAACTGTGGATGGACCGGGGAAATTAGCTAAACGTGCATTTGTTGATGGTATACGTAAAGGCCGACGTGGACGTGGATCAATTTATGTTTGGGCTTCGGGTAATGGTGGTCGCCGATTAGATAATTGTAATTGTGATGGTTATACAAATTCAATTTATACACTTTCAATAAGTAGTGCTACACAAAATGGCAATAAACCATGGTATTTAGAAGAGGTATATTTAAGTTTTGTCACTTGAGAAATTCTTATTAAATTTTGCTTGTAATCTTTTATATTCAAGTGTTCATCAACATTATCGACAACATACAGTAGCGGTACACCGAATAAAGATGGTAATATATTAACTTGTGATCAGGATACATCATATTTTAAAGCATTGAAAAAAGGAGAAATACCACAAAAAGATAGTTTATGTACACGAACACATACTGGAACATCAGCATCTGCACCGATTGGTAATTAATTTTAAAATTTAATTTAATGAATAGTCTTCATATTTGATTGTTTTTTTCGCTAATAGCTGCTGCAATCATTGCATTAGCCTTGGAAGCAAATCCAAATCTAACATGGCGTGACATGCAACACTTAGTTGTTATGTCTTCACGATATGGACCTTTGCGTCATGAAAAAGGTTGGGCAACCAATGGTGTTGGTAGAAAATTTAGCCATAAATTTGGCTATGGATTACTTGATGCTGAAACTATTGTTAGATATGCTGAAAAATGGACAACAGTTCCATCGGCACGTATCTGTGAAACAGCTACACAGATTAAAGAATGGGAAATACCTGCACAACTTCGAAAACAATTGGAAGTTTCATTATTAACTAGCGGATGTCGTGGTACATCAAATTATGTACGATATTTAGAACATGTTCAAGCTAAAATTACTTTAAAATATCAGCCACGTGGTAATCTAAAAATATCATTAATATCACCTTCTGGAACCATATCACATTTGCTTTTTCCACGACCAAGAGATATGGAAGATATTTCATTCAATTCTTGGCCATTCTTATCGGTACATTTTTGGGGTGAACCTCCAGATGGTACATGGAGACTTGTGATTCAAAATGATGGTTCCAAATCAAGCATTGTACCAGGGAAATTATTTTCCTGGTCATTAGTTTTCTATGGAACATATGAAAAAACTTATGCACAACGTTTGTATAATGAAACTGTTCGTTATTATCCTCGAAGTACATCACCGGCAACAGAAAAATTGAATGATTGTGTTCCACAAGGATTATATAAGATGTATGAATCAGATGAATGTGTTAAAAAATGTCCACCAAAACAATGGGCTAATAGTGATATTGGTCAATGTATACCTTGCAACAATGCCTGTGATAGCTGTTTTGGACCATCATCCGATAATTGTCTTTCATGTACAAATGGTTATTTTTTTGATTATCATTGTCTTGATCGCTGTCCAGATGGCTATTATGAAGATATTGAGCTTAAAGAGTGTTTACCTTGTTCACAAAATTGTTTAACCTGTTCAAAATCACCTGATATTTGTAAAACTTGTAAATCATTTGATTACCGTTTGAATGAACAAAATCGTTGTGTATTGGATGAAGAATATTCTATTTCATCTAATCAATTGTTATGTGATGAAAGTTGTGAAAAATGTAATGGATCATCATCAAATGATTGTTTGTCGTGCAAAAATGATCGTAAATTTTTTAAAGGTAGTTGTATTGATTCTGATTGTCCAGAAGGATATTATATTCAACAAGATGGTAGATCGATGGCATGTGAATCGTAAGTAATCTTTTGACCTTTACATTTCTTTTAAAATTGAAAATTTTTTTTCAACATAGATGTCATTATTCATGCGAAACCTGTGATGGACCTTCACATTTTAAATGTAAATCTTGTTTCAAAAATTCAACCCTATTAAATGGAACCTGTTATCTTTGTTTGGAAGGACATTTTATGAATCAAATGAAAAAATGTGAATTATGTCATTCATCTTGTTCAACATGTTCAGGACCATTAGCAACTGATTGTATTACATGTAAATCTGGACTTTTTATGGATAATATGCGTTGTGTGCCTTGTTGTCAAAATTTGAACAACAATGAATTTATCGATTGTTGTCATTGTGTTAATCAGGATGGTCCTTGCGCTTCAATCGATATACCACGAAGTATTCAAATAATCAACGATAAACCAGATCGAAATATTCTTTCAATATATCATTTGTTTGGATTTATTTTCAGTCATTTCTTTACCTATATTATATTGATCCTATTGTTAAGTATAATTTTGTTAATGTTTTTAAAACGACAAGTCAAATCATTTGGTTTAATCAATCGAAAACGTTCCGAATCATTTTATAATGTTAACTATCAAAAATTGAATTATAACAAAAAATCAAGCCGTAGGCGAAATATTGAACGACAATTTGATGAAAATTATGATAAAAATGACATTGATGATAATATTGATGATGAAGAAGAACATACTTTGTTCCAAAAAGTTTAAAAATTTTCTAGGAATGAATTTTCTAGTCTCTTATTTTTTTTTATTTTAAATATTTTGTTTCAAATTTTTTTTTGTGTGTGTATAGAGAACAAAACAAACAAACAAGAAAAAAAACATTTATTTTTGCAATTTTTATTTGAATAAAAAAATTCTATGAATATTTTATCACAATTTGAGATGATTCTTTTGTTATCAATGTTTTCCATTTCGTTTTCGTTTGTCGCATTATTATATGTGATGTGTGATGGGTTTTTTTTGGATGATTGAAATTGAATTTCAAAGGTCAAATTTCAAATTGTTGTTACCAAGATTCTGGATTCTGGCAAAAATTTACCTTTTTTTCATTCTCCCTATAGGCAACCAGCAGAAAATAAAACTTGAAAGAATATAGCCATAGGAATTTGACCCGTTCATTGATCCCCAAGAAACAGCAGCAGAAGCAATACACTATTACCATTAACCGACTATGCGCACGAATCTAAATTCAATTCCATTCCCTAACGATTCTTTTCGATTCTCTCGATTATATATGGCACATCTTGTGAAAAGGAGAGAGAATTTGTATACAATGTATATATATGTGTGTGTGTACAAAACAACAAATGTTTTTTTCATTGCTTGCTTGCTATCTATACAATCATATTTGATGTTCCATAATCATAGTTGCCTATGCTATTTCTGTATCTATTCAACATACCAAAGAAAAAACAGCATAGAATATGTGTTTGGTATGTTTGGTTGGATGTTGCGGTCATCGTCATCATCGGTAGTCGTTGGTCGTAGTTTGTTAGTCCGTAATTGTTGTTGTTGTTTGATTTGATTCGAGGGTAAAAAAGGGTTGAAATATTGTCCATTGTGAACTAAACAAAATCGTACCATTAATGAACCAGAGAAGAAGTAGAAAAAAATGGATGATGTTTCATCATTAAATAGTGATCGTTCAAAACGATTATCAGTTATATCGAAACGTACAAATAAATCGGATACATCATCATTATCATTATCAAATTCACAGATTTTAAAACGTAATTATCATACCTGTTTTGATTTGTTTTGCTTGCTTTCCCCATTGATGATTACATTTGGTTTCTTTTTAAAAAAATGTATTTTCATATCAGCTGAAAACATACCAATCGATTTACTTCTGCAAGAAGCCTGTATGAAAAATGATATTACAGCAGTCAAACATTTAATTACATTGGATATTGATTTGAATAAAAAATCACAACTTGGTCGGTCACCAATTCATTGGGCTATTATTAATAATAATACTGAAATTGTTGAATTATTAGTCAATGCAAAATGTGATATTGAAGCATCGGATAAGGTAAGTTTTTCCTTTTTTCAAATTTTTCCAAATTTCCCTGTTTTCATTCATTCATTCAATTCGAAAAAAAAGTTTGAAATGAAACCAATTTTGATGGCAGCAATGGTCGGTAATCTAGAGATGGTTAAAATTTTAATCGAAGCTGGCTGTAATTGTCGTGTAGTGAACAAGGTAAGATCAGATTCAAGATTCGATTTTCTGAATTCAAATTTTTCGTTCAAACCAAATAACAGAAACAACAAACCGTTTTACATTGTGCTGTTAAACATGATCAAAATGAAATATTAGCATTTTTACTTGATAATGTTAATGTTGATATTGATATTAATTCAGTGAATGAGTCATGGCAAACTAGCCTAATGATGGCCTGTATCAATAATAATCTGGAAATTGTTGAAAAATTAATTGCAGCAGGTGCCGATGTCAACATGAAAGATAAGGTAAATTGGTTGATTGGCTGATTGACTGAATTTGTAAAATTAAAAAACTTTTTCCCAAAAAAAAAAAAAAATTACAGCAAGGTAGAACTGTTGCACATTGGGCAAGTTTTAAAGGTTATCATCAAATATTGGATCGTGTTTTGAAAGCCGGTGTTAAAGCTGATGAAAGAGATCAAGATGGTAAAACTGGTATGGTATTTGTTTGTTTTCGTTGTTGATTTTGATGATTCATAATCACATTTTCACATTCATCAATAGCATTACATTTATCTGCTGAATATGGTTTTGAAAAAACATTAAAAACATTAATCGAACATAATTGTGATATTTTCATAACTGATACGGTAATTCTTCTAAATTCGCTTTATTTCTGATTCGTTTTAACCCTTTCTTTCTTTATCTTTTCTTCTGTTTCCTTTTCTTTGAATTTAAACAGAAAGGACGAACTGCATTAATGATTGCAGCTGCATTAGGCTATCTAGATGTTGTAACCATATTAATTGAACATGGTGCTAATCCAAATTGTAAAGATAAAAATGGTAATACAGCATTACATTTATGTGTTATGGGTAATCATTCACGTGTTGCACAATTTCTTATACGTAATAAAGCTGAAATTAATGCTTATAACAATGTAATTATAATGATGATAATGAAATCTGTCATTCATTTTGCTAACTAAAAAACAAAAAAACTAAATTCTGTTTCTATATTTCAGCGAAAACAAACACCATTGGTGATTGCAGCCGAGCTTGGCCATACTGAAGTAGCCGAAGTATTAATTAATCATAAAGCAGATTTGTTTGCTACCGAAAAGGTTTGTTTCGTTTTACCATTTTGAAATTTTTGATCAACCTGACCCTGATGAACAATTTTTTGTCAATCTCTTCCTTTCTATATTATTTTCAGAGCGGTCGAACAGCACTTTATATTGCATCACGTGGTAGTTTTCAAGCATTAGTCGATATGCTTATCAAAGCAGAACGTGAACAATTTTTTAAATTAGATTCAAATAATCAGAATCAAAATCAATCAACATTGATTGAACAAACATCATATGAATTGCCAACTGAATATGAAAATCAAGAAAGTATACGATTAGGACATATACGTAAAATGTTATATCATTTATCCCGACATTATCTTGATACAAATGATTGGAAAAAATTAGCACGATTTTGGAATTTCACTGAAGAACAAATCAAAGCAATTGAACATCAATATTCAGGGAAAACTAGTTATAAAGATCATGCATATCGTATGTTATTAATATGGTTACATGGATTATCATCAAATAAAGATCCAATGAATGAATTATATGATGCATTAATCTATATTAATAAAAGTGATGTAGCCGAAAAAATCCGAAAAAAAGCTAATGAAGATAATTTTTATCATTATAGCCGTTATAAATGTCGTTGTCTGCCTGGTATACCATCAACTGTTTGTCATTATTGTTTAATTACGTGATTTTTTTGTGCAAAAAAATTTTTTCCTTGTCGTTATTCATTTTTCTGTGCACTGTTGAATTGTTTTCCAGAATATTCTCACACACTTTGTCCCGAATGATTTGATAAAAAGTTTTTTTTCTTGTTTTTCCAATCAACATTATCACAGATTCTTTTTTTTTAATAATTCAAAAATATTGTTAATGTTTTTTATGTAAATATATAGTTTTTTTTCTCTTTTTTTGCTGTTTGATATATGAAAAAATATTCTTTTTTATAAACGTGTTTTATGTGTGTATTTTTTGTTGTTTGTTTGTTTGTTTGTGTGATTTTTAATTAAAAAAATAAAAAAATTTTATAAAAAAAATTATTATATAATTATGAAAGGAATTGAGGGTGGAATTTAAGAAAATAAAATATTGAATTTATAACGATGATTTTTTTTATCCCCTGTGTTCGCAAATGAATGAATTTCTTCGGTATTTTCGAAATAATAAGCTCAGGTTGTTGTTGAATTGGTTGACAAGGGATTTGTGGTCGTTGTTGTTGTTGTTGATGGACCAATAGTTACACTTGGTGAACGATCAAAATTATCCGGATTTTTTATCTTATTCATTACAATCGACCAATCGGATTTTTTTTCAAATAAATCTATTAATGTTTGTTCAGTATGTAATAGGCTAAAAAATTGTTCAAAACTTATTTGCCAATTTAATGGTTCATGATGATGATGATGATGATGGTGATGGTGATGATTTCGATCAACATTTGTTTTGGTAGAATCTGCATTTGTCACTGATGCAGATGATTCATCAACAACCATCATCATAATTTCTTTATTATTTTCACTTGAACAACTACTAAAACTTTTTATCGATAAATCATCAATAATTTTTAAATCATCATCACTAATTGTCTGAAAACTAGTATTATCGGATTTTATTGTTTCTTTATCTTCTTCTTGTTGTTGTTGTTGTTGTTGATTTTTTTCACGTTCAGCAATCGCTAATGATGTTAGATAACCATGACGCAGTAAATCATTACCAACACGTGCAATACAATCAAATATATGTTGTTCATTTGTTTCATATGCAAATATATCATACATTGTTTTCCATAAACGTATGAATTGCATTTCATTCATGTTTGGTAATTTTTGATATTTAAAATGCTGTTTTTCATCACCATTATCAAAATTATTCAATTGTTGTTGTTGTTGTTGTGATAAAGTATAGGTCATGCTTGAAGTTCGATGTAATTTTTGTATTGGTAATAAATGTAGAAAACAGGAAAGTGTAAATTCTTTTGGTGGTGGTGGTGGTTCATCTTGATTATCATCATCTGCTCCGGGATCTTTTGATGATGACGATTTCTGTGGTGATGGTTTATCTTGAAAAAATTCCATAGCTTCGGATGCAGTTTCAACATGATCATCCACTACATTATTAGATTTACCATTATCATCATTCAATGATGATAATCCGGTATTTCCCCTGTCCAATAAATGTATTGCATATAAAAATTTTAACCGTAATTCTGCATCAGCTTTTATAAAAATAATCATACATATTAATAATTGATATGTACCAATCGTATTCGAATGATTTTCATCAAGAAAATTAAAAACCCTACTGATCAGATGTTCAATATTATCACAATTCCATGGTATAAATTGTATGAAATAACAACGAAATTGTTCAATATCAATTTTAAATGTATAAATATTATCTTTTTTATCCAATAATGTTGTTGAATTGATTTGTCCCCAATATTGTTGTTTCAGTTGTTCTTCTTTCAATATCATATACATTGTGAAAATTTCATCATATGATAAATATTGCGAAATAATCGGTATACTTTGTAATGTACGAATAGTATTTTTAATTGAATTTTCTTCCAAATTTTGTACAACTTTCATACGATGTTTTAATCGCAATTTTTCAATTTGATTTGCTGTTATAAAATTAAATTTTGTATATGATTCATTAATCAGATCTTTAATATCGGTCATTTTTTGGCTAGCACGTTTACTTGCCGTACCATATGAAAATGAATGTACCATATGTGGTACTTTTGCTTCAGGATTGATAATATTTTCCAAATAACCACTTAATACAGTCATTGCTTCACCATCATCTTTACATTTCATTAATGATTCTTCATTTGCATTCAATATTCTTAAGGCAATTTGAAATACAACTTTTGCACCATCATAGAAAAAATAATCAACAATATTTATAGCTGATTCAAATGGCATAACACTTAGAAATATTGTTAAAAACCATGATAATGAAATCATTGATAAAATTCCCAAATGTAATAGTTGATTATAAAGTTCAGGTAAATAATCTTTAACTAATTCTTCCAATACACCTTGATCAACTAAAGCACCAATAACTTTTTTATTATAATAATCTGGTAATAAACGTTCACATAATGCAACCAATAACCAAAATGCATCTTCTTCATTTGCATATAAAAGAAAAACAGAAGCAACAATATTCATTGCTTGACAATAACCAATATTTGGATTTCTATATGCATATGCTTTCAATACTCTACGTAATGCATTGATACCAATATCGGATTGAAATGCAGGATGTTCAGGTAATGATCGATGTAGATCACGTTCAATTTCATCCGATGCAATATTCTGTACAGTCATTGAATTTTCAACCAATTCTTCATAATAACCTTGATTTGTTTCTTTTTCATTAATAGCACCCGAATAAAGTAACCATAATTCATTTCGTAATTCATCCGGTATTCCTTGTAAAATAAGATCACGTGTTTTTGCCACCCGGTAACAGATTATTCCACGACCATATTCAATAAAATGTAATTGCCATAAATTTAATTTAACCGATTCTTTTGCTTCATTTTCCGGTGATATATTATCGAATGAAAATTTTTTATTTAATGCCGGTTCAATTGACCATGAACTGGATCGAAGTTGACGATTTTCACGGCCAAGTACATCAAGACCTTCACCACTTTCAGAAACGAAAAAATTCAAAAATTAATCCTTTTTCAAAAAGATTTTTTAAAAAAAATACCTTTTAGTATAATCCAAACGAGCCAACATTTTAACAATTTTACCAATCAAAAAATCACGATCTTCAACATGATCAAATATGATATTAGTTTTGCTTAATGTTATCACTATTGCCTTATTCCATACAGGCCAATTTGTACTGTTGTCTAATTTTTCAACCGAACGAATTTCACGCATCGGTATTATCAATGACAAAAGGCTTAAAACCTACAGAAAAAAAAACGGAAAAATCAATTTAAATACAAAACCTTTTCTCAAACAAAAGATAAACATACTCGACTTTCAAAGCAAATATAATTATTTGAAAGATACATTTTACCCCAAACATGTTGTTTATTATATGGTGTCCATAATGTACATGGTAATGTACCATCAAGTTTTTCATCCATTGGTAAACGGAATGTTATTTTATAATTTTCACACATTGCTCGGGCATCCAAATCACGTTTAAGTATTTTTTTCGAAAAACCTTGTGAATTTTTTGATTTATTATTCGGATTATTATTATGACCACCACTTGTATTATCGATAGCAAGCAAATGTTGTTTTTCATCCGAAATCAATGATTTCATAGCAAGATTAACCAATTGTTCCATTAGGGAATAAACTTCATTTGCTTTCAAAAACATTGAAAATAAATATTTTTTTGTTCTAGTGTTTACCAATATACTATTAGGGAAAAAACGTGGATTATCAATTTCAAGATGCTGTTGTGAGAATCATAAAAAATTAAACAAATTAAACACTGCTGATTTAAGAATTTTTTTTCGCACAACTTACCTTAACATCAATCCATTTGATTATGATTTTAATTTCATTACCAAAAATATATGAATAAAAACACAGATAATTGATGCTTATATAAAGCCAACCTTGTCGTGGAAATGAACCTTTAAAATAACTGCAATAATAATCTAAATTTATGAAATATAAAAATTAAAATTACAAATAATTTTACAAAGCAAAAAGTAAATCAAATATAATTACAATTTACAAGTTTTTCTTCTTCAGGCATCGCGAATAATTTAATAAATTTTGCCACTGATGATATAACATCTTTTGTTGTTGATTGATTATCATTATCCAAGGAATTTTGATCAATAATCATTTGTAAAAGACTTTCAATTTTACATTTAATAAAATCAGTTACATCTGAATCATTTTCAAAATTTGTTAATGTTGGCATTAGATGATTTTCAATATATTCCCAATCTTGTAGTATTTCAGTAAAACTAGATGATGCAGCAATGACTATGGAAATAGGGAAATGAAATAATGGAAAAATTACTTGAATGGAAATCCTAATCATTCATTGATACATACTGTATGTTGTATCCGAATTGGAAATTTGATGCAAAATTCTGAATGGTAATGGCTTTTGGGGTGGGAAAAAAGAAAAAAACAAAAATGTCAGAAAAACGTCAGAAAAAATAGAGAAAAATATCTACCTTTGTATCGAAAACCGAATCAATGGTACCGACCAACAGCGATGAAAAACCTTTGGTTCCATGTCCTAAACGTCTTTGCAGGACAAAATATGGATTTGCACGTTCGGTTATCCTTTTCAAACAAAACAATGAATTTGATTGATAAAAGTTGATTGAAGGTTTTCATCAAACTTACCAAAAAGCATTTGCAACGACAACATTTTCCAATTTGACCCACATGGTTCGAAAATTTTGGAAAACAAGAAAAAAAACTTGTCGAAAGAATCTGTCGAACTGGGTAATGAGGAATGATAATGCAGAAAAAACAAAAATGTCGAAAACAAAACAAAATCCGATGGACAACACGATGAATTGGTAGAAATCAACAACAACTAGAACAATGACTTTTGGAATTTAATTTGGTTTAATGTTTATACAAAATAATAATTTTGACCATTTTTTCGGTTAAATAAATCATTGATGATAATGATGACATGGTTTTTCCAAATATTCTACTCGCTATCGATTAAGAGTGTTTGCGTCTGTGGTCAATGGCAACAAAATATATTTTTTTTTGTTTAAAATAAATAGGATCAATACATGCAATTTCAAAGACAAACAAACAAAATCAAAATTGAAATTTGGAAAAAAAACCAAAACAAAGAAAGAAAAAATTGATTTGGATTTGATGATATAATATTTGATTGACAGCGATGATCATCCAACCAACCAAAAAAAACCATTCACAAAATGGTTAAATGGCTAAAAGCAATTTGATCGTTTCATTTTGTTTCGTTTCGTTTCATATCGATGTTTGTTTTGAGAGGTGTTTATTTTTTGATCATCATTGAAAATATCTTGAAAAAAACAAACATTATCAACAAGCGGCAACAGCGACAATTTAGCGACAAAACAACAACAACAACAACAACATTGAGAGACAAAGAACGATCATCATTTTCAATCGAAATCGACAGATGGCGTTTATTTCGTGGATTAAATTAAAACGTTCGAATTCGAATGTTTTTCGAGAAAAATGATAATTTTATTTTTTTTTAAATTCTGAATAAATTATGTAAATTTGTAAAAATAAAATTGTTTGTTTGTATAAAATTTTAAAATTATTAATTAATTAGTAGAAAAAATATAATAAAATTTTAAAATGGAAATATGATTGATGATTGCTCCAGGCAATCAAAATGTTGTTTTGTTTTTTTTTAAAACTTTTAAAAATTATTATTCTTGTGATGATGATGATGATGGGGGAAACATTTGTAATGCATTTTCAATATTCAAAACAATTTCTTGATATAATTTTAATTGACCGGTAAGAAATTCACGCATTACCTGATTAAAATCATTAATACGTTCTTGTTCAAAATGATTCATTTCAGCAATTGTTGCATATGTAACAACATCTGCACGTTTTTCAATACCCATTAATGATTTATCATCTAATCTACCTTCATCACGTGCTTTTTTATGTTCACGTTTTTTATTTATTGAACCTTTATAAACTTGATAAATTTCTGGCCATGCAGTTAATATACCACGATATTCATGCATTAGATTTGATAATGGAACAAAACCACGACAATCTTGTTTTTCAAATAATTTTCCAATTGTTTCATATGTTTCTCCAGTATAATTTATTGCCTGTATTAATGAACGATTAGCTGGTGAATCTTTTGCTGGACATGTTTCAAATGATTCACTTAATGTTGAAAATATACTACTTATTTTGGAAAATTCACGTTTATAAAATGATTGATAACGTTTTATCATATCTTGTGAAACATTATATGTATTTTTCATTGATTCATCTAATTTACCAATAAAACGTACAAATTGTTCAATCAATGGATCAGTATTACGATCAATCGTAGCATTTTCAGGTATTTGAATTGTTAAAAAAAACATTCCACCAACTAATTCATCTTTTTCAGCTCTTCTTTTACCATTTTTCCATTGTTTATCATCTTTACATGTGATAAAATGTTTCCAAACAGTTGATTGACAAAGAACAGGATGATGACAAATTCTTTCAACCCATGATTGTAGCTGTTTTCTACGATTTTCAATAAAATCATCTTGATAACGGCCCGAAATTTGTTTATCCGGTAATGATGGTATTGGTATGGTGGTAAATTTATCCTGCAAACGTTCATGTAGCCAATCAAAATGTTTATAACGTCGTTTGACCGATACACCGGTATCAGATGGTGTCAACCGATAAGCAATAAAACTTTTCAATCCTTTCATTTTACTTTCTTTTTGTGGTTCTTCAACTTTAACCGTAACATTAAAATATGTTGGAGCCCATTTCAACAAGCCATCATTATCAAAAACAATATGAATCAAATCATTTTGATTAACATTATATGTTTTCAAACCTAATATATAATCTTCACCACCAGATTTAACAAAATGTGAAAATCTATTTATACTTTTTTTTATCGATGGTCCTCCCGCTGAAGAATTTTTATTATGATTATGACCATGAATATTAATCGGTGCAAGTTGATTTTGTGGTAAATTTGTTGGTGAATAATAATCAGCTGTAAATTCCGAAGTTTGACTATCATTATCATCATCATCCCAATCATCATCACCCCAATCAACATCTTCAGCAGCTGCATTTTGATCATAATTATTATTATTATTAACACTTAGTTGTTGTGGTGGGGATGGTTGTTGATTTGTAGTTGATTCAATATTGTTATTATTATTATTATTGATAATCGCTGTACCAGTAGCTGGATTTACAAACGATAACATTGTTGGTTTTGGATCTGGTAATGGTCGATTCCATGAATCATTTGTTGTTGAATTTGCTGAATCAACAGTAGCATTAGGAGGAGAAACAGCAACAGGCGAAACATATTCAGCAGGAAAAAGACCTTTTTGTCCACGTGAATTAATACCTTCCCACCATCCTTCACCAATATCTTGACGGGTGACTATGAATTTTCGTCAAACAGTAAAGTTACAAAAACAAAAAACAAACAAAAAATTAATGAATGAATTTCATTGTTGAACAAATCAATCAATCAATCAAACAAAAATCAAATATCAAATTACCCGTAATCATTTCATCTTTTATAATGGAAATTTCACCCGTATCAGGCTGTGCTTGAAAATCATAAAGTGCAATTACTTTCATCATTGATTAATTTATTTATCTAATTGGTGTTTTAATTGACGATGGATAATGTAGTGTTAATGTCGGTGTTTTTTTTTGCAGAAGAAAAAACAGGTGAAAAAAAATTAATGTCAAAGAGCGAATCTCATCCACACACAACAAAAAGAAATTATTGATTTGTCGAACGAATCAACCAAACAGAACAACAGAAAAATCATTCGATCAATCGATATTCATTAATCAATGAATTATCCTGAAATGATTTGACAAAAGAGAATGAATATAGTGAGAAAAACAGAGAACAACAAACGAAACAGAACAAACGAAAATCATCAATATGAAAAATATCACCAACACCCACAATCAAATCAAACGCGATCAAATCATCATCATCATCAAATCAAATCAAAACAAAACAATAAAAAACAAAAAACAAACATCATCATTATCAATCAGCATTTACACATGAATGAATGAAATGGTATAATAATTACTGCATACAGCAGTAAAAATATATGCGTATTTTATATGCGTATTGATTGACTCACACGCAAACAAACAAACAAACAAACAAACACCATACACACACGTACATGCATATAACACAGGCTTATATATAAGCAGCGGAAAAAAAAGTTCATTTCCCATTCGGAACACACGCTAGTTCGCTTTTAGAATTTTTTTTAATGAATTTTCTCGAATTTTGTTTTCTATTTAACAAATTTTATCATAGAATTAATTTACCATAACTTTGGGATATGAGTTTTCGATTCATGACATGGTGTACAATTCAACAATATCCAATCAATGTGGCCAGTCGTATGTTACTTGAACGAATTACATTTTTAAACTTCGTCAAGAACTTTGTTTGCTGGTTGGATTGCACGCCAAACCGCCTAAATCAATATTATGGCCTTTGATAGATGAACTAGTTGAATATGACCGCGAACCGATAGAAATCGTTTTTGATGGACGGTCGTGTGTTGTCATTTCACGTTCGCTTGTTATTGGTAATCGCTGATGCTCCTACAAGAGCAGATATCTTAAACTGCAAACAATTTTAATGGAATCCACGGATGCAACATGTATCTTATTAAAACACAATATGTGGCGGAACATTGTTGCCGAAGATACCCAATGGATGTTGACTATGGGTCAAGAGATAATTCCAAGTGGCGAAGATTAATTTCATTAGCCCAAAGGCCATAGTTATTTCAAAAAGGAAAAAGAAAGGATTAAAAAATCATGGAAATTAATTGCTAAATCTATGAATATGAAAGGTAAGTTTTGTAATTAAAATTAATGAATTTAATAAAACAAATGAAATAAAATAGAAAAAAAATGCAAAATATATTGGTCAAGGATCCGTGGTGCACAAATTAAACACATAAAAAGAAGAGTTCGTAAACCATATTTGGAACGTATTCATCCCGAATTATCGTTTTTGGACGACGAATTACCAAAATCAACAATGCAGTTATCTTAAACTGCAAACAATTTTAATGGAATCCATGGATGCAGCATGTATCTTATTAAAACACAATATGTGGCGGAACATCGTTACCGAAGATAGCCAATGGATGTTGACCATGTGTCAAGGGATAATTCCGAGTGGCGAAGATTAATTTCATTAGCCCAAAGACCATAGTTATGATGAAGATATCTCGAAAAGTTCTTTCAATTCTTTTCCTTTTTTAAAAAACGTTGTTTTCTATTTAAAAACAACCATGATTACAGAATTTGAATTTTTTTAATAAATAAACAGACAAAATTTTATTTTGTTTTAGAATTTTTTTCTTTATTTTCATTTGTATTTTCAAAATTAAAAGAAATTTTTTTATTCAAATCAAAAAAATAGAATGAAAATAAGACATTGACCAAAATCTGATCTCGAATGATTTGTTTATTCGATTTCGAGATTAACGGATCTTCTTTTTCGGTCGAATATTATTCGAATGTCCACATTTACGTTTACGACAATTTGTTGCTTTTGGATGAAGTCGAGCATAACATCTATGTAAAATGAATCAATGAAATAACCGGTGAAAAATAAAAGAAAATTGAATAAAAAAGTCGAAAAACTTACTTTCGACAGATCATCTTGTCGCAATTATATTTACGTGCCAAAATCAAAAGACTTGGTTCGATAACACCACCACATAAACGTGAAACAAGATGAAGTGTAGCATCTGAAAAATGAATTTTTTTTGTTTGTTTGTTTTTAAAAAGCTTTTTAACCAAAGTAATTTAAAAATTAACAAACCTTTCGAGATATCATAATCATTCAAACAAGTTTCCAATTGTTTACCACCAAAAATAATACGTTGATCTTCAACGGGTATATCTTCTCTTTGTTGAATTTTCGTTTTAATCGAATCAATCGATTCAAAACGATCAACATCCAATGAAATTGTTTTGTCAAATGTTTTAACAAAGATAATCATTTTTGATTTTCGAAAAAAAATTCAATTTTTAATTCAAAAAAATCCAAATGTAAAAAAAAAAAAAACAAAACACGTTCGCATACAAAACACTGCCGGAACTTTGTTAAATAAAATGAGCAGAGCAACGTGTTAACTGGAATCCGTCATAGACAATGTTTTTTTGAAACGTACTTTATGTTTGGACAATTTTGATGCGCATTCTCACAATATTCGCTCTTTTCATTCATTCGCATGTTTTTCTCATTTTAACCGGTAAGAAAATTTTTTTTCAAAAATTTTTTCAAATTTTCTTTTCCTCAAGAATATTATCATCGAATTCGAAATAAGAAAAAATGAAGATTGAACAAATCAGACATGATTTAACCGAAATTTATTTGCAATCAAATGCACGTGGTCTGAAACAAAGTACAAAATGGTCAGCCGAAATGCTGCGTTCGATCAAAACGCAAACACAAATCAAAACAAAATGTTTTCTATCGATTAATGATTTGAATAATACATTTGAACAACCAATGGAACATAGTCCTATTACTGATAATCATCTTATTAATGATCCGGATTATTTATTTGCAAAAAGTGTTTTTGATTGTGGTGAATATAAACGTGCTGCTTATTTATCACAAAACCTAATAAATTCATCACCCGAATCATGTTTCATTCATTATTATTCGGAATATTTAGCCATTGAAAAAGAACGACAAGATCGTATGATTGAACCAACATCGGTTGTACCAAATTATCTACATCGTTCATTTATTGAACTTAAAAATCATATTGAAAAATTATTTCAACAAAATAATAATGCATCGAATGATTGTTATATGCATTATCTTCATGGTATTGTTTTATTGAAATTAAGTTTAAATAAAGAAGCATTAGCTGCTTTATTTAAAAGCATACGAATCAATCCATTATGTTGGTGTTCATGGCATCAAATGACACAGGTTATTGTTGAAGAATCACAAATGTCTAATCTAGTTCTACCGGATCATTGGATTAAATATTTTTTTCTAGCTGCTGTTTATTTAGAAATAAAATCCAATGAAGAATCATTAAATATTTATCAAGATTTATTTAAAACATTTGAAGATAATACTTATATTCGTACACAAATGGCTATTGTTAATAATAACCTTAGAAATTTTGATGATTCAATTAAATTATTTTCCATTGTACGATCAAATGAACCATGTAAATTGGATGCAATGGATATCTATAGTAACCTGTTGTATGTTAAAGAATTACAAACTGAACTAAGTTCCCTGGCGCATATATCAAATAAAATTGATCCATATCGTGTTGAAACTTGTGTTTGTATTGCAAATTTTTATAGTTTACGTGGACAACATGCAAAATCGGTTGTATATTTTTCCCGAGCGCTACAATTAAATCCAAAATATCTTTCTGCATGGACATTAATGGGACATGAATATATTGAATTAAAAAATACAAATGCTGCTATACAAGCATATCGTTCAGCAATTAAATGTAATGAACAAGATTATCGTGCATGGTATGGCCTGGGTCAAGCATATGAAATACTTAAAATGCCAACATCAAGTCTTTATTATTATTCAAAAGCATTGTTTTTGAAACCAAACGATACACGATTTATATTAGCACTTGGACAAACATTTGAAAAAATTTCCAGATATGAAGAAGCGGCAAATTGTTATGCAAGAGCTGGATTTTCATCATTGATTAAATTGGCAAATCTTTATGAACGTATGAATGAAGAACATAAAGCTGCTATTATTTATAATGAATTTGTTACAAATTTTGAAACAAAAAAATCACTGTATAATTTGAATATATCAGATTTTGCTAATGCATATAAATATCTGGCACATTATTTTCATCGTAATAAACGTTATAAAGAATCACATGCTGCTGCACAGATTTGTATGTATTTTAATGAATGTCGTGATGATATTAAAGAATTATTAATGACATTGGATGGTGTTTTTAAAATGCCCACCACTACCACCACCACCACCAAACAATCATTGGCTATACAGAAAACTTGATCTCCATTCATTCATTCATCGGTTTTTGTCGTTGTTAATGTTGTTTCGGTTTCGGTATCCACTGTACATTCATTCACATCCATCGGTAATTTATCACCCCATCTTGCACTTTTTATACATTTATAAACATGTCTATAATAATTCTAAAGAAAATGAATAAAAAATATTTTAAAAGTTTCCCATACTTATCGGTTTTCGATTTGGAAACAATAATCTGTTTAAGTAAACCATCATTATCACAGATACGACAAATAGCATGACCTGCTTTCGACACAACTGGTTCGATAATTTTTGACCAATTTTTTTGCTCTTCTTTCCAATTAAAATGACCATGTTTTTTCATAATTAAAAATGTAAATTTTTCCGATTTTATACGTGGATTCGTTTGGCCATAATCAAGCGGTTGATAATGTACACCAAAATTACAGTAGGATTTCTTATTCAATATTGATTGTCTTGGACAAATCAAATCATGTGGACACTAAATGATGATAATTAAAAAGGTTAATCAATCAATCATTTGGATATAATTTACCGGTGCCATTATCGATCCACCAATCGATAATAATCGATTATCAATTTCAGTTCGATCTGGTTGATTTGGTGGATTTGATTGTTGCTGTTCCAATTGAATTTTCCGGTTAATTTGCAGAAGAAAATTTCTTGCTTCCATAATGGCTTGAAAACCAGCTTTTGAACCATGTTCAATCAATACTAAACAACCAGAAGTTTTTTGCCATAAATTTTCCACAACATATAAACGATTTCTTGTATCTTCCATTTCGAGTAATGAAAATGCACTTACAACAAGATCATATGATGGCTGGGAAAAAAGGAAAAATTATTAGTATTTGTTTGATTCAAATGAAAAAATCTTACAAAATGTTTAGCCGGTAAAAATTGACGATAAAAAATTCGATCTAAAATATGTTCATCATTCAATGTTCCACGTTGTAATAATTCTCGAGAAAGTTGATTCATATTTTCATTCATATCGACACAAAAATATTCTTGTATTGTTTTATTCCAATAATGATCAGCAGCCCATATTGTTGTACCGATACCGGAACCAAAATCAAATACACTTGTTGGTTGAAAATCTGGTTCTTCATTTCGAATCTGGTTGTTGACAAAGAAAAAAAAATTATCAAATCAAGAAGGTTCTCTTTGGTTCCGTAACAAACCTCATTGAATACATGAGAAAGTACAGCAAAATTAGCCGGTAATCTTGCAGCCATATAACTTGCACATTCATGATTATTGTAACTAAAATGATGATTAATTGATGGATAAAGAAAAAGTTTTTTTAAAAAATGTTAGCAGAATTTTGTAGAAAAATTTACAAATCTTTTTCAAAATATAAAGTTCGCTGTCGTTCTTGCATTTCTTGTTTGAATCCAATGTTTTTCATTGCCATTTCATAATCAAATGATTCATCAACTATTGGATGGAACAAAAAGGAAAATTTATGAACAATTTATTTAACCAACCAACCAAGAATTTACCGTTAATTTTTTTCGTATTTTCAACATTATCTTGTTGTTGTTGTTCAGATTCTCTATTTACAAATATTCTTAGGAAATCATCTTCAATTTCTTTTACTTTTCGACGAAAATTTTTATTACGATATTCTATAAATGCAAACAAAAAAATAACCATTAATTCTCGTAATTATCACTGAAAGTTATCTTACTATTGATAACAGAAGTAGCAGCAAAATGTAATTTAAATGGTAATTTTCCGGAAAAAAGTCTTCGATTTCCTGGTTGATTACGATATTTATTATCAACATTTTCAAAAAATTCCGTTAAATTTTCTTTCAATGTAAAATTATGTTTATAACGAATCGATTGACGACGACATAAATTGTCGATTATTGATTTAAATAGAAAAGAATTCATTGAATTTTCCCCAAAAAAATAAATTCAAAAAGAATCATCAAACCAGCTGATTTCGAACACACGTGATTTCAAAAAAAAATCCATAACATCATTTAATGACGAGACATAAATATTCTGTGCCAATTGGCATCGTCATCATCATGTAATAGTTTTAGTAGCTTACATTTATTGTCTTTTTTCTTTGGATTTGTAGGTTTTTCATTTTCAAGTTTCCAAAGTTTTTCTTTGAATTTTCAAATCTAATTTCATTTTTTTTCACCCCCCGAAAACACTCAAAATTCGAGCCACACAACAAACAATTCGAATGGATTTCGAATGAAAACGAAAAAAAACTTGTTTTCCATTCCATTTTTTTCTTAATATTTTGATGAGAGAAATCCTGAATATTTAGATTAGTTATGTAGATCATCATTCAACGACAACAAAAACTTGATTAATCAAACAACAATTATGTAATGTGTGCTGTGCGTAAACAAACATTCAATGATTGATTCAAACAAAATTATTGCGAAATTCTCTATATAGGATTTATTTATTCGATTGAAAATCAACAACAACTGTCAACTGTCGTCGTGTCACACATTTTTCTCTTTCTTTCACTCACTCTCACTCATATCTCTCGTTATTATCATCATCAAAAAAGAAAATCATTATCATCCATCAACACTCTTTTTTTTAATATATTTTGCGTAAAGTACTGGTAGTTAGTAGTAAGTGTTATTGCATTTTTTTTTGTATTTTTGAAAATCAGTGATTTTTGTTTTTCGTTTTTTTTCTGTGCTTGGTGATAATAATGTCCGAAAAAAAATTGGAAATTGATAATCTTAAAATATTTACATTGAATTGTTGGTATGTTTGTTTTCTTGCTTTATCAAATTTTTCTCTTTCTCACTCTTTTTGAACCACAAAAAGGGGTCTAAGATATGTATCGGATCATCGACAAGTACGAATCAAATTAATTGCTCAACATTTAGTCGAACAAGATTATGATATTGTATTTTTACAAGAAGTAAGTTTAGATGAGCAGGTAAAATTTGTCAAAATCTAAATTTTTTTTCTTTCAAACACAGGTATGGATACAATCAGACTTTGAATATATTCGAACAAAAACCAAATCAAAATTTCGTTTTGCTCATATGTTTCACAATGCAAGCCTGCTTGGAACAAGTGGTCTGGTCATAATGTCCAAATGGACACCACAATTTATACATTTTCATCCATATAGTATTAATGGTTCACCATTTCGTCCATTTCATGGTGATTGGTTTTCAACCAAAGGTGTTGCATATGTTCGTATTGAATTGATTGGTTTGAATTTACATTTATTCTGTACACATATGCATGCACAATATGATCAAAAAGAAAAAATTATCGATCAATATTCTATTCATCGGATTTGTCAATCATATGAATTGGCTAAATTTATTAATCTTATGGCTTGTAATTGTATGAATACTGGTTCGAAAGATTTAATTTTATTGGCTGGTGATATGAATACATCATCCAAAGAATTACCATATAAAATGTTGAGTATGTTTGTTTGTTTTGTTTGTTTTTTGTATTTTCGATTTTTAAATTTTGTTTCATTTTTTTCCCAAAAAGTTGAACTAACCGATCTGAATGATTGTTATAAACTGATACAAATTGATCAACGAAAACGTACATTAAAATGTTTGCGAAGTCCAGATAAATTAAACAAAAAATATTCGTCGAATAATAATAAACAATTGGAAAAATTAAAAAGTTTAGAATCAATTAATGATCATGAATCAAGTGATGAAGAATTAACAACATGTGGTCATCGTGATAATACATTTACACCACAACAATATTTACAATCAGAAAAAAAAATTGGTAAACGTATTGATTTTATTTTCTTTAAATTAAGGGATTCATCATCACCATCTGATCATCATCGTTATTTACATAATCATTTTGAAAATAATACAATGGATTTAATAAAAAATGATTTTGATACAATATTTTCAAATAATGAAAATAATTTAGTCACAACAACATCAACGAATAATAACGCTAATAATCAGAATCAGAATCCGAATCGTATTGAACAAACATCATTTTTAATGTGTTTACCGGAAAAAGTTAATGTTGTTGCTAAAGATATATCCGGCCTTTCGTTTAGCGATCATCAACCAGTTGTTGCAAAATTACATTTTCAATGGAAAACAATTAAAGATTTAGTTAATGAATCAAATAATTATTATTATAAAAATAATACAAGTGATAATACTAGTGATGATAGACAATTATTGAATAATAAGGCTGAAGAAATGAATTCATCCTTTCTCGAGACAAGTAATGGTTTATCGCAATCGCAATCGCAAACATCACCCTCATCACCAACATCGACAGCAATGAAAATGAATGATAAAAAATCCACACAGGCAAAATTATTTTCAGCCAAACTGCGACGAAAAGAATGTTATCTAGCCCTTCGTGAATATCAACCAATGTTTAAAAAAATTCGTGATTCATCATTAATCAATGAAATTGAAACATTATTAAATGCATATGTGGAAAAATTTCTGCCATCATTCAATTATACATTGATTACCGTATTGATTATGATTATTATATTTATAATGTTATTGATTTCGTTTAAATTTCTAATACCATTAACATTTGTTGAAACAATATTAATGTCATTAATATTTATGATTATTGCAACGATTGGTTTATTATTGAAATTTATAACACATCGTACAGAGATTAATGCAATCAAAGCAATATTGAATGATATACAAAGGAAAAGAACATTTCATCCTGATTATGGTCTACGTAATAATGATAATGTTACTGTTAACGATGGATAATATTATGTGATCCAAATCTTGATGGTGAATTTATTTACCTTGGTTAATAATGATACCCTTCTTCTTTATTTTCAAAAATGAATCGAACAAAAAAGCAAAAACATTCGAACAACAATTCTTTGGTGAGAAATTCCTGAACAACAACAAAATTTCTGATTGTGATTTTTCTTCTGTAAAAAAAAATTTAGGCAATGTTTTTCTCCATCCTTCCCATGATTAGTTTTGGGGATTACAAATCAAAACATAAAAACAATGATGATGATTGTTAATTATGAAAATTTTTATTTAATTATAATAAAAAAAATTAGCAAATATAATGATAATAAAAGTGTCAGATTACAAATTTGTTTTTTTTTAGTAATAAAAAAAATTAACACAAATTATTTTTAAAAAAAAAACATTTTCAAATTATGAAAAATGATGAATGATGATAATGATGATTCGGAAGTATTAGCAATGACACAAAACATATATCCAAAATAGTCAAAATAGTCGAGAGAAAAAAATTGGTTTGAAAATAGCCAAAAGGAGAGAAGAAACGAATTATTACGATGCGAAGAATTTAGCCAAAAAAATTTCGTTGATGATGATTTTCACTATTTCTACCTATGTATGGTTTTTTTTCAAATAAAAATATTGATAATTTGTCCCTGTATAGATATTATTGATTATTGAACGAAGATAAAACATGTGTGAAGAAAGAGGGGGAAGCCATTTTTTTTTTGAGAAAATGTTTGGATTATGATGCTGATTAATAGAAAAATATTTGATTGGAAAAAGTATTGAAAATTCGTCTTGCGATTTGACCAAATGAATGAATGAATGAAGGAAGGAAGAACAGTCAGGATGTGATTCAATTCGGAAAAAGTATTGAGAGCGAGCGAGCGAGAGAGAATCTCAAGAAAAAATAAAACAAAAATTTAACGGAAAAAAAATCAGGTAAAAAAACAAACATTGTTAAAACATGAATAGTAATTTTTTTTCAAGTGAAAAAATAGAATCTTTTGTTTTGTTTCTCTCGCTCTCAGGTGTCTGTGTATCTGGTGTTTTTGGTTGGGAAATTAAAAACAAAAGAAACGAAAAATTGCACGAAATCAATCGACCGATCGATCATTCGCTGATGATATTCTGCTGTTGCTGTTTGGAATATTCTTACGCAATGATCGCTTGGAGACAAAATTCTGCTGAAAAACCAAAAAGTGAATTTTGCGGTTTTCGGTGGGTAAATGTCCGCCGAGCAAAAAAGCAAAAAACAAAAAAAAACTAAAGAAAATCAAGGCAATTTTTTTTATAATTTCTGTTTATCAAAAATCAAAATCATAATAATAATAATAATAATAAAACACAAACACCAAAAAAAAAGTTAATAATAATAATAATGAAAAATAAAGAAAATAATCAAAAAAAGGGGGTAAGATTATGGTAGTGTTAAATGTTCATTCATTCATTCAATCATATAACGTTCATAATTTAAATGCAAAAAAATAGAAAGAAATAGTTAACACCATTGGAGCAGCTGAAAGATCAAAATTGTTTCGGATACAAATTGTTTTCCATTGTCAAGTGTGTGTGTGTGTGTGTGTGTGAGTGTTTTCAGTGAACCAGAATCGCCCAGAATTGATAATAATTGAATTGATAACCAACATAAGAAACGACAAAAAAAACACAAGAAAAAACAGAACAGAACAGCAAAACGAGCGAAAGAAAAAAAATTACAAAATTTAAATTTAAAAAAAAATTTGAAATATGGAACGTTTGTGTTTCAGGATTTGTTTGTTCAGGAGATAATTTTTTTTTTAAAAAAAACAACAGATTTTCAATCATCATTTTGCTACTGTTAATTTGTAATTTTTGTTTGTTTGTTTGTGAAAGATAGATTAATTAACAAAATATAATGATAATTAAAAAAAAATAATGAATTTGTTTGTAGTTGACGTAATAGTTAAGGTTCTACAAAAAAGAATAATTAAAATTAAAAACCAGACAAAAAAAAGAAGACAAAAACAAGTTTGAACTTTGAGATGATGATGATGATCTTCATGAAATTCTTTTACGAAAAGATTCTTGTTGTTGTTTGCTGGATAAAAACTTTGTGAAGACAAAATATGATTTAGTTTTGTTTGGAAGAAACAAGAGCATCAAGTGATTGTTTGTTGTTGTGACAAGTAGTAAGTGATGTAAGAAAAAAATGGAAGAAAGTAACGANCAAAGAAAATCAAGGCAAATTTTTTTTATAATTTTTGTTTATCAAAAATCAAAATCATAATAATAATAATAATAATAAAACACAAACACCAAAAAAAAAGTTAATAATAATAATAATGAAAAATAAAGAAAATAATCAAAAAAAGGGGTAAGATTATGTAGTGTTAAATGTTCATTCATTCATTCAATCATATAACGTTCATAATTTAAAAATGCAAAAAATAGAAAGAAATTAGTTAACACCATTGTAAGCAGCAAGCTGAAAGATCAAAATATCAATTGTTTCGGATACAGAAAATTCAATTGTCGAGTGTGTGTCTCGTGTGTGTTTTCAGTGAACCAGAATCGCCCAGAATTGATAATAATAATAATAATGATAACCAAAAAAAGAAACGAAAAACAAAAAACAGAACAGAACAGAACGAGCGAAAGAAAAAAAAAATACAAAATTTTTAAAAAATTTGAAATATTGGAACGTTTGTGTTTCAGGATTTGTTTGTTTGTTTGTTCAGAAGATAATTTAAAAGAAAAACAAAAACAGATTTTCAATCATCATTTTCTTGTTGGTTAATTTTTGTAATTTGTTTGTTTGTGAAAGATAGATTAATTAACAAAATATAATAATAAAAAATAATGAATTTGTTTGTAGTTGTAATAAGGTTAAGGTTCTACAAAGAATAATTAAAAACCAAAAAAATTGAAGACAAAAACAAGTTTGAACTTTGAGATGATGATGATCTTCATGAAATTTCTTTTCCGAAGATTCTTGTTGTTGTTTGCTGGATAAAAACTTTGTGAAGACAAAATATGATGATGATGATGATTTAGTTGTGGAAGAAACAAGAGCATCAAGTGATTAGTGTGTGATGAAAGAAAAAAAATTGGAAGAAAGTAACGAGAGTTTTGACGTACAAAAAAAAGTAATAGAAAAAACGAAATAATGATTCAATAAAAAAAAACATTCAACAAACAGACAAACAAACGAGAAAAAGAGGGAAAGAAAAAAAAATACATATAGAGAAACGAACAAATATGTTTTTCAAAGAGAATAATAATAATAAAAAACAAGATTAAAAAGAGAAAAATCTTCAAGAATTTCAGAATTTCAAATTCTTCATTGGGAATTTCAGTTAGTTTTTTCTTCAATAGAACCACATAGAATCAATTGAGATTTGTAATAAGTAATAATGTGCTTGGATTGATTGATTGATTGATGTGAATCGCAGAAAAATGATTAATTCGATGTGATGTGATTTGTCCGTAATCAAATCGATCAACGATTGATATACGGATGATGATGATGATTGAGAATAATTGAAAATTGAAAATCAACAAATACCGCTTGTAGCAACTGCTGTAGCCAATGATTGCAGTTGAAGATAACGATAAATATAGATACGATAATCTTTACTTGCCAATACAACCGAATTATCATCCATTAATGCAACATCAAAACATTGTGAATGTTTTACTTTTGATTCTAATGCATTAACTAATTGTCCATCTTGCGTAAATATTGTAATATTAAAATTATTATGATTATCAGCAACCAATATTTCACCACTATCATTAATACAAACACCAATAGGATAATTTGTTAATCCTTCACCACCAATATTACGTAAAAATGTACCAGAATAAGAGAATACTTTTACACAATGTGCACGATTATCGCTAATAAATATTTCTTGTTTATCATTAACAACAACACCATTTGGAAATTCTAAATGTTTACTGCAACCAAATTTATGTAAAACATTGCCCATCAAATCGAATATAATGACACGCATTACTTTACATTCAACAATAATAATATTTCCTTTATTATCCACAGTAACACCACGTGGATGTTGCAGAATGTCAGCACCAAATTTTCGTACAAATTGTCCATATTGATTATAAACTTGAATCTGATGTGTAGGTGAACGTTCGGTGACAATAATATCACCAGATTGTTTAACAACAGCAACACGATTTGGATATAAAAGCTGTCCATCACGTTTACCACATTCACCAAATTGAAATTTAAAACGACCATCTTTATCAAATATTTGTATACGATGATTATTTGTATCGGCAACAATTATATCATTTTGTGCATTAACAGCTACACCGGAAGGTTCAGTAAATTGACCTTCCATAATGCCAAATTCACCAAATTTACAATGATAGATCATTTTTTGTCGTTGAACTTGTGATTTAATAGGCATATTTGATGATGTCATCGATGATAATGATGATTGGTCATGATTATTAATGAGATCAATTGGATCAACTGAACCAGTCAAATCGGCAAGGCCATCGGTAACATTATTCCAAGCAGAAAATAATGATGAATCTGGTGAAGAATTTGAACCAGTTCCACCACCACCACCACTACTGCCACCACCAGTAAGACCATTACCATTCATACTACCAACAACTGACCATTTATCATAATTAAATGCATTATTCAATGAATCCGAAATAGATGATGATAATGAACGATTATTATTATTATTATTATTATTGTTTGAACAATGATTTTGTGATAAATTAAATGATCCAAAACGATCAACAAGGCCATTTGAAGATGATGAATCAATAAAGCCATTCATTTGGGAATTATGTTGTTGTTGTTGATGATGATGGTTATGATTATGATGATGATGATTATGGAAATTATTATTATTATTATTAGCTACTGTAACCGATGTTGATCTCGATAGATATTTATTATTATTATTATTATTCGATGTTGTTGTTGCTGCTGTTGTTGTTGATGATGATGATGATGATGTACGTATATAGCCAACATTATGTTTGAGTATCGATTGTATACCATTATAATTTGTAACAAATTCAAGTTCATTTGAATGAAAGCTCGAATCAAGATCAATATTTAAAATGGCTTGTAGTTTATTATCAATAAATGATTTACAATTTAACATATCATTTGGACAATCTTGTCCTTGTTCCATATAATATAACATTTGTTCAATTTTTCTTAAATGTTCTTCAATTTTTGATGTAAATATTGTTAATGATATTAATCTTGCATTATAAACATCTTCCAATTCTTTTAGTAAATCTGTTTTACCTTTACCTAATGCAGTATAAACAGCTTGATAGGCATTATCAATTTCTTGTTGAGCTTTACCATGTTGATTATGTAAACGATTTGATAAATGTTCAAGATTTTTTTGTTTATGTGATAAACGATTACGACATTCTTGAAATATTCGTATCAAATGTGTTGTATCCGATTGTTGTTGTTGTTGATGACCATTATTATTATTATTACCAACAATACTATATTGGCCATTTGTTGTTGTTGTTGTTAAATTATTTAATGATGATACAGAATTATCATCATTACAACTGCTTAAATTGGATGGTGAATTTGATGATGATGATGATGACATTTGTTGCTGTGATGAATTATTATTGGAATTATTATTGTTATTGTTGTTGTTTGACAAGACATTTCTGGTTACTGAATTGGTCGTTGATGCGGCTGCCGCTGCAGCAGCGGATATCAATTCATTAGCAAAATGATCATGATGATTATTTAGATGATTAATTGGTGAAGTGTTGGCTACAGCTGCTGCTGCGGCAGCAGCAGCAGCAGCAGCGGCCGCTGCTGTTGATGATGTCGATGACATTGTTGACAACGTCGATGTATCAAATGTTGTCATCATTTTATCTTCTTAAAATTTTTTTTGTTTTGATGATTTGAAGATATATGCAAAAAACAAAAGCCAAAAAAAATGATGCGACAAAAAACGAAAAAACAAAAACAGACAAAAAAAACAATAACGCAATTCACAAACAAACAAACAAAAAAACGATTTGATAAAAACGTGAATTTGAAGCAAACAAACAAAATAAATTTAACAAAAAAAAATTCAGATTCCACGCTTTGGAATTGTTGGTGATGATGATGATGATGATGAAACAATGATCCTGGAATTTTTTCTTCTTGTCGTCGTCAAACGTATAAAACCAGAGATGAGAAAAAATCTACTACCACCACCACTACCCGAATCAAAATTGGTATAGCGACAGTGTGTGTGAATGATGAAAAAAAAATTCTCTTGCTTGCAAGATTCGATGATGATATTCGTCAAACACGATGAAAGAAATGCACACACGTTTCTTTTTTACATTCAAAATCTCAACACACACACCATACAAAAACAAGATGAGACAATGGAAAAAAGGCAATGGCACTATCTTGATTTTTTTCTTTTTTCTGTTGTCGTTGTCGCCGTCCAAAAAGATTTGAAGAAGAAAAAAAAATAACCAGAAAACCAAACGAACAAAAAAACTTCGTTTCAAAAAAGAGAGATAGTCAGTCATTCAGTTGTGAGTAAGATAGCACATTACACACACATAAAACAAGAGCAAGCGTGGTGTGGGTATTATAAAAAAACCAAACCAAACCAAACAAAGAAAAAGATGTTGATGTTGATGATAATGATGAAAACTTGCTTGCTTTATTGGACGAGAATATATACGTATACGTATACGTACGTAGTATGTATATGTATGGTGTGTTTTTTTTTTTGGTTGCGGCTGGTTAGTTTATGCAGTCATTTTAATGTGTCTATCTTTTTTTCAATATATAACACACTGTATATGCACTGTGTGTGTGTGTGGTTGGGTTGTCCCTGTTGTTTTGTTTTTTTTCTGGGCTGGAGTAGACGCAGTTTTTCTGTGATTTTTTTTTCGAAACAAAAAAAAAATTCAAAGTTCTGGCGCTTTTTGGTATTGATGATGATGCACTTGTTTTGTTTTGTTGTTGTTTCTAAATGAATTTAAAAGAAGAAAAAAAATTTTCTTAAAATCAAATATGAAAAGTTTTTTTTTTTGATTCGAAGAGTGGAAAATCAAGATTTTCTTGGTTGTCGTTGTCGATGATGGACGCTACTTTTTGAACAAACAAACAAAACAAAAACAATGATGATGGCAATGATTTTGAAATTTCGTAGAGCAAAAGGGGAAAAAAAATTATCTTCGATGGATGGCGATGACCGAAAAAGTTCGTTACCGCCGAATAAGATGATCATTGGATATTATTATCCCTTTTTTTATAAGATGTTTTTTTTTTGTTTGTTGTTTTTCTTCAATTCGGATGGTTCATTATCATCATCAGGTTTTCTTTATCTGTCGTGTCTACAAGTTTTTTTTGTTGTTGTTGTTGTTTGGTTTATGATGATTTTGCTTAGGGTTGTTCAACTTGAACTTTCTATTAAAATTGGTTGTTTGGTTAGAGCTTGGTTGACTGGTTGTCTTGACGATGATGTTTGTACAAAAAAAAAAAAAAAAAATTCAATGATAAATGATGATTTGAGTTTTTGTTGTTGTTGGTGGTGGTTAAAAGACTTGTACACAGGGTCAAAAAAGTTCATCATCAACAACAAGAAATAAAGAAATGAAGAAATTCAATGTTATGATGGTAATGAAAAAAATTTGTTTCGATTCAGTTTTTATTTCATTTCTGATTTCTGAATTCAACATTGACGATGAAGATGATGACGATGACAACAACAAAAAGCTATTCTTGTTTGACAAGAATTTTCTTTGGTAAAAAAAAAATGGAGGGGAAATTCACAAACATTGAATGATGTTGTTGTTGTTTGACAAAAACATTCGAATCGAACGTTCGGTGTTTGCGTTCGAATTGAAAAAAACCGAAAAAAAATTTTCTGAAAAATTTCTTCGTCGAAATCTCAATCTTTGTGGATTTTTTTCACGAAAAAATCAAAAACGAAAAACAGTTTTTTCAAAAAAAATTTCGCTTTCAATCAATTCGATTACTGGTCACACACAAAATGTTTTTTTTATTGATTTTTTCCACGATGATGATGATATTGACAACGGATGTTACTTTGATTTTTTTATTAGTTCGAATAATAATAATAATGATAATTTAGAAGAAAACAAGATGAAAAAAACACCAAAAAAACAAATACAAAAACAAAAACAAACAAAAAAACAAATTTCAAAATCGAACAACAAAAAAATATCAATGAAAAAAAAGAAAAGAAGAATGGACAAAAAACAAGCAACAGCAACAACAGCATTCAGTGTCAATGAATTGCACACCCGTTGGATGAACAAACCACCAAAAAAAAAGTGGAAGTGGTCAATGCAAAAGAAGATAATGGTGGGTTAAACCAAAAAAAAAAGCGAGGGAAACGAGAAAAAAAAACTGTTGGGGTAGTATAGATTTAAGACGAGGGGTATTTATTTGAAAAGAGAAGGGAAGAAGATATTCTTTGTTGTGTGTGGTATGGTTGGTTGAATCCAATTTTGGATTCAACAAAAAAAAAAAAATAATTCTTCATTTCTCAATGCCACTACCCATCATGATGATGAATCCAGCATTTTTGGATTTTTTTTTTTTGGTGTGGTTGAACTTTTGCGAAGCAAGAGTGAGGTTATCTTCAGCAAATATATATTCAGCAACGTTGTTGGTGATGATGAAAAATGAAAAAAAATCTTGCGCGCGTTATTATTACACATTTTGAATGTAATTTTACGAAGAAAAATCGAAAAAATGAATGAAATGACTAATATGAATCGACGCATGCGCAATCGATGATAATTTGAAAATTTCAATAAAAGAATGAAATTTTTTTTTAATTTAAAATCATTTATCAAGGAATTTTTCCAATTAAAATATTCATCAATTTTATCCAAAAGCAATCAAAAAAAAAGTTATCATTAAGTCAAAATAGCCGCTTGTTTAATTCGACATACATACCCCCCCCATAATAATAAGGACACCATCGTCAAGGATTTTGGCCATTGCACTGTATATCCAAATTTGTTTTTTTTCTTGTTTTGTTTTGTTTGTTTGTCATGTTTTTATTCCCTTCATTTTTTTTTCGTTTGGCATGTCCCTGGTCCTTAACCCTGAATTTTTTTATTTTTTTTTATTTTTCGTTAGTCGAGATGCTTAATGCTCATGTCTGATTCGAATCCTGAATTCGTGTGCGTGTGTGTGCGATGGATACATTTATATGGATGAGAATCTGGATGAAAATAGCCCCCAATCATCATCATCATCACAATAGCAAAATTTTTTCTTTTTTTTCTGATTCTATTTACAAACAAAAACAAAAAAAAAGAAAAGGTATTCAAAGAATAACAACAACACCATCAACTATCGTTTATTAGTCAGCTCATTTTCAAATTCATTTTGTTTGTCTGGTTGGTTGGTTGGTTGTATGAATCTTGCTGTTTGAATGTCGTCGAACCTATCTCTCTCCCCGAAAAAAAAAGAAAAAGAAAGAAAAACATTCTCTCTCTCCTCTCAAACACTCTCTCTCTCTCTCTCTTTGAAATCATTTCGATATTAATATGGATTCGACCAATTCTTCTTTTTCAACTATCATCACACATCGCATCGAATTTATATTTTAAATGGATGCGGCTATATTATTGTTATCGGAATATAGTGATGTGTAAATAGTGTCTGGGTTTGTTTGGTTCACCCTTGTTTTCCGTTTGTTTTTTCTTTCTTCTCTCGTTTTGATTTGGATTTTTTCTTAGCCAAAAATGATTCCACAATAAAACAAATCAACCAAAGCGAAACATACAGATGTTATTTGGAGAAAATTACAGAGGAAATTAGTTTGGATCTTTCCGTTGAAAACTTGGTTGAAATCCGCAGCTTGAAAAAACGAAAAAAAAACATTTTTTTTCAAACGAAAATGAAAACGAAAAAAATGAAACGATCGACGAACTTCATTCATGAGAATGATGCTGATGATTATATAATACTGTGTGTGTGTGTGAAAAAAAAAGAATAGAGCGCGGCAAAATTTTTTGATTATGAAGGCTGCTGTGGCTGCTGCTTAAATGCATCAAGATGGCCTTCATCACGGCCAACACCCTCACACGGTCTGATCCGATCGGTTTGATTTTCATTGTCGTTTGGCTGCTTTCTATTTTGGCTGTACACACTGTACTGGTGTATGGTATTTTCGTTTGGGGAAATGTGATTGTACGAGGAAATCCTTGAATTTTTTTTTTCTTTTTTGGCTTGGGTGGTTATCAAAGCAGCAGCAGCAGCTTTTGTCGTCTGTTTTATTTTCTGGCTGCTTTGATACCATACTCCTGCCATCTATCGATTCGGATTTTGAATATTTTTGAAAAGGGTAAAGCCAAAATATTGTATCAAAAGATGGCGTATGTTGATTGTTTCACAATGCTTCATTTTTTTCCATTCTTCGCGAATCGAATATCCTAACCATTCATAAATTTTGTATTCGTTTTCATTAATTCATACCACTACTACTTTTTTTTATTTGTTCGAGGATACTGCTATAGCAGTTTATGATGATACTTACTTTGTGGTAGTGGTATCGAATGTATATTTCGAGCATTTTTTGTTCTTTTTTCTTTTCTGATTCTCATCATCATCATCATCATCAACAATATTAACCATCATCAACCATCGTCGTCGTCGTTGTCGTTGTTCTTCTTCATCGTCAATCTTTGCGAGAATAATCGCATCCAAAAAAAAACGAAAAAAAATCCATCTTTTCTCGAAAAATTTTTCTGGTCTCAACAAACAAACAAACAAATCAAACAACAGCAACAACGAATATCTAAATTCGGTCCCCTTATTTTCTTTCAATTTTTTGCAAATTTCTTCACCAACACTTTCACTCTCGTTGAAAACAATATATTTCCAATCACAGCAACGATTCTCATCAAAAACGATATTTTCCCAAACAAAAATCCTTTTCTTTGGACCATCATCATTATCATCAGCATCAATATCTTCATTATCAATCAATCATCAAACGCAACGCCACTAACCATAATATTTCTCTATATATATTGTGAATTTTGTGTATGTGATTGTGTATTGCGTATTGTCTATTGAGCATTTGAAATAATTTTGTCCGGTGTGCCAAAAAACAAGAAAAAATAACCAAAAAACAAAACAATCTTCATTCAATTACCAATCGAATATATCACACACACACACAGCCAGACACATCATTTTGTAATTTTTTTTCTATAAAAACAAACGAAAAAGAAAACTATTAGTGCCTCACAAACAGACATTAATATCCGAATCCATTCAAAAAAAAATGAAAATAAAATCACCAAACACTACCTGATTATCATCATCATTATCATTATCACGATTCTGTCCTTGAAAGCTCTTTCATTCTATTATTTCACACAAGTCAATCAGTCAAATTTGCTCTATTTTTTTTTCTTTCTTTTTTGTAATATTCCCCCTTTGACATTCTTTTATCATTCGAAACAGAGAACAAATATCCTTATTGTGACAAAAATCGATAAAATCTCAAAGCAAAAAGAAGAAGAATCAAAAAAACCATAAACATCTTTTATTTCCAAAAACAAACATTTTTTGATCTTTTTTTTCCTCATCGGAAATAACAGAAATTTTTACACACACACACAGTGAACCAATCTAATTAATTAATAATCAATAATATTTTTCAAATCATCAATAATATTTTGTGATATAAACAAATTTTTAAGCAAAGCAAAACGAATGTGAACAAAAAAAAATTCATTATTTTTAAAAAAAACGAAAACGAAACGAAATTACTGAATAATTTTGCAAGACAAACACACACATCTACATTATTTATATAATAGGTGAGATTATCTTTTTTTTAAATTAACATTTTTGTAAATTTTGAAAAAACTACAACAAAAACAAGAATTCTTTACATTCGATTCTGAAACTTTTTTGTGAAAACTCTCATAGAGAATTAATCAATCATTTTTTATTCTGTTTGTTTCTTTTCATTGCAATAATCATCATCATTAGAAGAAAATCTTTTGTAAATTTTGAATCTCAAAAAAACCCTAAAAAACAAAACAAAAAACAAATTGATAATTTTTTGGCAATTTTCGAGCAAGAAAAACTCATTTTTTGTGTGTATGTTTCAAACTATTTTAACCCATCCGAATTCATCAAATCATCATCATTTTTTTCGTTTCGTTTATCGAATATCGATAGAATCTTTCTTTCTTTCTTTCTTCCAAAAAAACATCATTTTCAACCTTTGTTTTGTTTTTCACTCAGAACAAACAAAAAATACACCAGTTCAAAATTTGTCTATTTTTTCTTTCATTTTGTACGTTTTTCCCTCTCTCTCCTCTCACGCTTTTTCGCTCTCATTTTCACCAAAAATTTGTTAAAAAAAACTTTTGAAAGTTTATAAACACACGCCGCAAACATCATCATCATCATCGTTCATTATCAAACTCAACAAACAAACAAAACTTGTAAAAACATTTTGTTCATTCATTCATTCAATCAATTTGTTTTCGGCATTTCTTCAATTCTTATCATCATCATCATCGTATACACACCGAACACACACACACACACATTGCGACTCAAACATATAAAAACATTCGATTTTTTAAAACAAAACAAAAAAAATTATAATAATATTTTGTAACTGACTGTGAAAACAAACAATAACGAAAAAAAAATATTGCGATAATTCATTTATCCTAATCATTAATTAATTAATTACAAGTTGAAAAAAAAACAATTTTCTCGAAAACCGAAACATGTCGAATTCATCGGATGTAAGTTTTTATTGATTTTTTTTGTAAATTTTAACTCTTTTTTTTCTTTAGTCAAAGATTTTTTTGCCAAACACCGATACATTTTCAACATTTTATGATTCGAATAATCATTTTAAACATTCATCAACATCATCACCATCATCATCATCAAATCAATTTAATTTTTCATCATCATCAACAACATCATCATCAGCAATGACAATTGATCATTATCAAAATTCAACATCATTGTTGGATTCATCATGTGTCAAAGAGACAGGTATTATTGAAAAAATGGTATGTATTTTAAATCAATTATGGTGATTTTAATTGATTTGTTTAATGAAAAAAACTTTTTCTCTTTTTTTTAATTTAGCTTGTATCATATGGTTTTATACAATGTTGTGAACGACAAGCACGTTTATTCTTTCATTTTAGGTATATTTTTTTTCATTTAAAAAATTTTACTCAGTGTTAATAGTAATTTGTTGTTGTTGTTGTTTCTGTATTTAGTCAATATGAAGATAATATTGAACATCTTAAAATTGGTGATCCAGTTGAATATGAATTATCATTTGATCGTCGTACGGGAAAACCAGTAGCTATAAAAATTCGTAAAATAACATCAAATAATTTTATGATTAAATTGAATAAATCAGAAAGATTAATTGGTGTTATTGCAGCTGAATTATCAAATGATCGTGTTGGTCGTATTGCATTCGATAATATGGGAGAATATTTTTTCTTACCATTCAATATTGATGATGTTGTTGATGATGTAAATTTTAAGGTTAATGATAAAGTATCGTTTGTATTAAGTACTGATGATAATGGATCATATAGAGCAACCAGTATTCAATTGGAACGATCATCAATGCCTAATAATCAAGGAATAATTAGCGCTATCAAAGATACATTTGGTTTTATTGAACGTTCGGAATGTGGAATGAAAATATTTTTTCATTCATCAGATTGTGAAGATTTTAAATCATTGATTATTGGTGATATTGTACAATTTGATATTACAACACGAAAAAATAAAGAATTGGCTATAAATGTTACTAAACAAATAAATTCGGATGAAGAATTTTCTGATAAAATTTATAGAGGACAAGTAACTAAATATAATAATCGTTCAAATCTTACATCGGGAACTATTTATTGTCCAGAATTGAAAAAAGATTATTTTTTCTATGATAAAGATGTTCGTGGAAATTTTACTATAAATTGTTTTGATTTGGTTACATTTCAGATTGCAACCGATCGTCGTACACATTATGAACGTGCTGTTAATGTTAGTTTTTTGGTTGAAACATTTTCAACAAATTCAGAAAATCGTGAACGTGGTTATGTTGCTAGTTTGAAGGTAAGAAATTTCTAAAATTTAATTTTTTGACTAACTGATTCTATGTATGTAAAATTCCTGTAGGACACTTATGGATTCATTAAATGTCCAAGTAAAGAAGGTTCACTTATCTATTTTAAACATGCTGAATTATTAGATCCAACTATTGTACTTAAATTAAATGATGAAGTTGAATTTACATTTATAACTGATGCTCAATTGAAAAAATGTCAAGCAATTCGTATTTCAATACTTCCTAATGGTACATTATTTAATAGTATACTTTCCAAACAACGACAACCAAACAATAATAATAATAATCATAATAATTTTCAAAATAATAATAATGATAATCAACAACAACAACAATCATCACAAACAACAGTTAATGAAGTTTTTAATCTAATTGATCTTACAACACCAATGAACATTACAATGAATAATCATTTAATAAATGCTGAAAATAAAGATACTCAACAACAACAACAACAGCAACAAAATGAAAATGGTATTATTAAACAGAATGGAACTACTACTATTACTACTAATAATAATGATGATAATAATGTTTATTCATCAAATTGGACAAAAGAATTGATGGAAATATTTCAAAAAAATGATAATAATAATGATTCATTTATGACAATTACAAATGGTAATTTAGATTATAATCATCATACATCATTATCAAATAACGAATCGGATGAAATAAGTGGTGTTAGAAAAACTGGTATAATAATATTATTAAAAGAAAATTATGGTTTTATTGAATCGATTGATGGTGAAAATGAATATTATTTTCATAGTCTTTCATGTAATGATGATAATTGTAAACTTGGACAAACAGTCGAATTTGATACATTATTTTCGAATGGAAAATGGAAAGCAATAAATGTTTCAACGAAAAATGAATTAATTTTATATGAAGATTTATCACGTGAAATTTTTATTGGAACAATTGTACGTACATTACAAATGTTTGATAATGATCAAGAAGAATATATTGGATTGATTGATAAAATTGGTATTGAAGGTGATAATGGTATAATGAATGGTTGGGATAAAGCTGAATATGAATTTAGTATGATTTCATTGAAATTTTTAAAAGATTTTATTAATGTTGGTGATTCGGTACGATTTCAAGTGGCCACTAATCCAGTGACAAAAAAACAACGTGCCTATAATGTTGAAGTTATTCGTGATCGTCTTAAGGTAAGTTTTTGATTTGATTGATCGAATGAATAATGTTTACAATGTTTTTTTTCGTTTTTAAAAAAAGGGCACTGTATTAACATTACAACGATTATATGGATTTTTAAAACCAGATAATCCGGGTATTGTTGGTAATATTTATTTTAATGCTGCTGAAATTCGCACAAATGTTAAAATTAAATTTGGTGATAAAGTTGATTTTCTTCTGGTCAAAAATAAAAAAACGGACAAATTTTATGCTATCGATATAAATCGTTTAGATGATCATCAATTAACATCGTTTGGTGGTAGTGGTGGTAACGGTATTGGTAACAATGGATCAACAACAACAACTGATCGACAATTTATTAGAAATTTTTTCATTAATAAAGAAACAAATGGACCAAAAGTTATTGCTATTCGTCAACCAAAAGCACCGGATGGTACTAAAGGTTTTAATGACAATAGCAGCAGCAACATTATAACATTTACAACTGGTCAATTTTAAATAACTGTGAAGAGATTTGCATTCGTTTGTTTTGTTGTTGTTGTTGTTGTTTTTCTTCATTGTTTTGTTTCTCTTCATTTTCAATAATCATCAATCATTATCAATCATTGATCACCGATGCAATATATATTCGATCCCGTCCTTATCAATAATTTCAAGTTGAAACGAATCCAAAAACAAACAAAAAAAATCTGAAACAATTATCTCTTTCATATATAATGTGCCTTCAAAAAAAATTAATGGTAACAACCGAAAGAAAAAACACATTTTACCCGATGATTTATTCGAAAAATTTAACAACAACCGCCACTAACCCATCGCGAAGATACTCTGATCTACAAAATGGAAACCAAGCAAGTAAAATAATAATGATTGAAATTTACAAACAAACACCATTTATATGTTTTTGTATATTGGTGTAACACACACACACACATCTTTGAATATATATCATTTTCAATTGATCTTTTGAATTTGGTTTGACCACTCTTTATATCATCATTTTCTCTCCCATATATGGATCTAATAATTCATTCATTCATTCTGAATCACCCAACAACATATGCAACAAATAATTTACCCGGCTAGTCGGATTTTCTAGTTTTTTCTCATCATTTTGTTTGTTTTTCGTTTGTTTGTTTGTCTATTTACAAATCTCTATATATGACCAAACAATATATAATTTCATAATCAGTAATAATAATAACGAGTTTAATTTAATAATAGTGAGTTGATCCGAGTTTTTACACACAAACACAGAATTCGATCAAAAAAAATATTCAAATACAGAATATCATATAGGAATATTGGACAAATTTGATAACTTTTTTTCTTTTTTCTTTTGCTTCCATCATCATCATCATAAACACAGCATAAAACTTTTTTTTTGTTCTCATTTCTTTTCGTGTATAATTTGGATGTGATCAATAATCAAATTTTCAATTTCTACTTTTGTTTTTTCTTCTCATTCACTAATCAATCAATCAATAATTCATATTTGTAACAGAAACAAACAAAAAACACTTTTTGTATTCCAATTCACATTATAAATATTGTAAACTAATCAGAAAAAAAACAAAACAAAAAAATATCTTATCATCATTCGAATGTTTTCACTTTCACTCTCTCACTCTCGCTCTCTATGTCGCACTTTCAAAACAAACACAATTTTGTAAAATGTAACGATAAAACTTTAAAAAAAACGAAGAAAAAAATTATAACTTGATCTAATCGATTTTTATTTTGGAACAAAAATTTTTGATATTTCCAAAAAAACAAAACAAAAAAAAAGAATGAAAATAAACCAAAAAAAAAAATTGAAAATTTTTGAATTTTGAATTTCTATTATCACTTGTTTGGGTATTGGTCGGGTTACAATAGGATTTTTTTGTGTTTCGGATGGGATTTTTTGATTTGTTTTTTTTTTTGAAATTGTTTTGTTTTGGTTTTGGTTTTGGTTTGTTTTGTTGTAATTATAACAGGAATTATGAATTTGTAAGTTTTTTTTCAATGTTTGTTTTCCAAAATAATGGTAATTTCGTTGATTAGATATTCGAAATCAAAGAATAAGATAACCATGGTCAGGCCATCAAAATTTTCATCTGTTCATCATTATGATCATCCATTATCCTCTGTTATGCAATTTGATTCGGAAATTGATTCATCATCTAGCCAAAATGATAAAAAACCAAATGGAAAGACCAATTCTATTGATGTAACAACTACATGGAATGGTTTGGATCCATTATCGGTTGCCTTGTCTTCTTCTTCGGCCGAAAATCAAATTGTTAACGATGGTGATGATGGAAATATTTCGAAAACATTTGGCAAAACAAAAATGGTCTATATTGGCAATGATTTTAATCATTGGCAATCATTTCGAATGAAAATTCTTAATAAATTTAATACAGTGGAAAAATTAACAATTCGTTCATCGTTTCAATTTGATAAAGGAACATTATCAACACCGAATGTATCGCAAAAAGTTCGTACACGTTTAGAACAATTGGATGAACTGGAAGAAGGTTCAATCAATGAAATGCATGATCTAAGTCAACAAGAATATATTAAACGTATTGATGAAATGAATTTGGCCATTAAAAATGCCTGGGATAGTGATCAACGAGTGAAAGCATTAAAAATTGCCATACAATGTTCAAAACAATTATCAACAATAAATGCTATACATTTTTATCCAAGTAAATTCGTACTGATTACCGATATTCTGGATAATTTTGGTGAATTGGTTTTGGATCGTATTGAAAAAAAGAAAAAAATTCCAAATAGCCAAACAGATGATTCCAAAGAAACATGTTTAAATTGGTTTTATAAAATATCAAGTATACGTGAATTATTACCACGTTTTTATATTGAATGTTCAGTGTTGCAAATTTATAGATTTTTATTTCAATCACCGTCATCAACGGAAAATCATCAGCATCGTGAAGAATATGAAAGAATTTTATTACGTTTAACTCGGATGACACGCGGTATTGGTGATCCATTAATAGCAATTTATTGTCGTGTTTATCTTTGTCGTGTTGCCATCAAATTATTGCCTGAATCAAAGAAAATTTTCCTTCAAAATATTTACGATATTATTGATAATGTTGATCAATTGACATGTTCGTATGTACGAAATTGTCTGACGACACAAAACATTGGTTATCCACTTTATTATAGTTTATTTAATCCGGCTATGAATTGGATTTTTAATTGTTTATTTTATAAAGGTGTTAATTATGATAATGTTTTAAAATATTTTTGTAACAAAATTGAATTCTTCAAGAATACAAGCTGTTCGGCTTTTGTACTCAGTTCAATGATAACAAGTTTTCCAACCGAATTTATTGGACAGAATCTTTCAAATCTAGTCACATTGATTAAGAATATTTACCACCATCATAGTCAGATTGAAGATCAACGTGATTTAAAAGATTGTGCATATCCAAAATATCTTCTAATCAAATGTATCGGTGAATCATTAGTTCGTGAAGATGATTTTATGGAAAAATATTCGATTGATGAAAATTTATTATTCATTGATCTTTGGTCATTATCCAGTCAAAATAACGTTGAACAGCAATCAAGACAGGAATTTTTATGCTGTTTAGAAACATGTTGGTCAGAAATTATTGCCAAATATTGTTCGGTTGATTTTATAAACAAACTATTGGGCGATATTATTAAAAATGTTAATAATCATGAACCATATGATAATTTACAACAATTATTACAAATATTACAAAAAATCATCATTAATGGTAGTAAACGAATATCGTGTGAACAATTTTTCTCAATGAATAATCTGCTACCGTATTTGGATTTATTTCATAAAGAATCGATAAAAATTGATGCTTGTAAATTGATTGTTACATATTATAATCAAAATTGTTCAATAATCAATGATGATGATGATGATTGTTTGATGGTGGTGAATGATCAACCTGATCCAGTTATTCTGAATGCAATGCAATATCTTTGTAAATTAATTCATGATTCAATTGATTCATTAACATTAGAAGATGATAAACGTCAAATATCAACATTAATCATAGGATTTATTCGTCGTATTTCCTGTAAACAACAACAAGATCTTGAAGCAAGATTAAATTTTTATATTGAATCACGGGCGAATTTTTCAAATCTAGATCCAGTGTTGAATTTTATTGTTCAACAGGTGAATACATTAGCAATGGATGCACATTGTTTGGTGAATGGTCGTCATACGAAAAAAACCCTTTCATTTGTTAATGCTTGTATGGCATTTTCCTATATAACCATACCATCAATGTATGATATTTATTCACGTCTGCAACTTTATCTATCAAGTTCACATGTCGCATTAATGAATGGTTGTTTACCACAAACTGATTCATTTATAAAATTAACAATAACATTAATACGACAACTACCACCATATCAAGAATATTTGGATGGAAAATTTTATTCAAATGATGAATTTTTATATACATATTCATCACAATTATTATCAACATTGATAGTTGTACCGGATAATCCTGAACTTGGTATTTTATATCTGTTCAAAGGTTTATATAATGTACTAAAAGAATATCGTTTCGAAACAAATTCTAATTATAAATTATTAATATGGATAAATATGTCAAAATATTTAGCCACATGTAGTAAAGATAATTATCCATATCATATTGAACGTATTGATTCGAATGATACACTTTATGCACAGGATGAAGAATTTCTAAAAGAAATTGAAACATATTTTGATATTATTTTTCAAGAATCATTGGATATGTTTAAAAAATCACAATATAATTTGGTAAGTAAATTTTCAAAAACTGAAAAAGCATGTCTTTTTCTTTTTATTTTTTCCCTTTTAACATCAATAATGTTTCCTTTGTTTTGTTTTTGTTTTTTCCCCTGTTATTCACAAAATAAAAGGATATCAAACAGCAATTGAATATTGCATTGGATTTTATCATTTTGATTATAAATTTTGATAATATACAAAAAATGAGTCATGTCATTAATCAACTTTGGAATTGGACATGTAAAACATTGACCAAACATCAATTCCATTGTTTTGATCAAAAAATGGTAATTTTTGTAAAGAAATATGATCAAATTTTTTTTTTTGCTAACAAGATTTTGTTTGTTTGTTTTTGTCGTAGAAATCAATCTACAATTATCTTGGAAAAACATTCGATTTACAATTGAAAGCCAATTGATCTTTTTGCGGTTTGCTGGTTTATTCCGTTTCATTACTATCAACATATTTCCATAGGCCATAAGTTTTTCCAATTGTATTTTGCCATAAACGTAATGTACCATCTTCACTACCACTTGCATATAATTCACCATCCGGTGAATATCGTAAACAATGTACGGCACCAAAATGTCCAGAATAAGAATCTGTGATTTTTTTTTTGATAACAAAACAAACAAAAATTTTCATAAATAAAAATGATTTATAAAAAAACATTTAAAATCCATTTACCAATTGTTTCACAACGATTATAATCACATTTATAAATGAGAAAATCCAAACCACCACAAACAAAAACATTTTTATCTGGATGTAATGATGATGTTTCAATTACTGTTGGTGCTTGAAATTTTTTTATCTGTACCATTCTCGATAGATCAAAAAATATAACATTTTGATCATAACAAATTGATAATATTGATTTATCATTAGTCACTTCAATTCCATTTGGTTTTTGATCAAATGTTAATTTAAAACATTCTTTTGTTGAACGTTTATCCCAAAAACGTATTGTTTTATCATCAGCACAGCTTACAAATTGTGTACCTTCGATATTGGAAAATAATGCCTGTCGTATGTTATCATCATGACCGATAAAATTCTGTGGATCTATAAGATGATGAAAAAAAGCGATAATAATTTCGAATCGAAAGGATTTTGATAATAAAAAAAATCTTACCCGAATTAATATTATTTAAATCAAATAATCGAATAATTTTATCATTACTTGATGTAAGTAATTGATTATCATCTGAACTAAAATCAACACTTTTAACAATATGTTTATGTGGTAATGAAAATACTTCATCACCTTGTGTTGTATTCCAAATTTTGGCTGTAAAATCAGCCGAACCAGTAGCTGCTAATGAAGCATCACTATTTAAAACAACACCCCAAACGGCTCCTTTATGTCCTTCAAATGTACCGATCCAATCACCGGTATCACCTTTTCTAAGCATCGGTTTACCATCTTTATAAAATTATTGAAATAAATCAGCAATGTTAATTAACAATTTGAACAATTTAAACTAACCTTTTGAAGCTGAAATCAAATAGAAACCATTCTCAGTAATCGAACTAAAATGTAGATAAACAATCGGCCTAGTATGACCATTACATGTAAGTGGAACTTGTTTCAATGATGCTACATTGTTATTGGAATTTAATGAAAAAATATCCATTGTATTAGTCGATGATATTATGATTATCTCGAAAACAAAACAACAAAAATCAATCGAACACACACACACGTTTTATGTATTTTTTTGGATTGAAGACAAATTCAGAATGTACGTATGCAAAAAAAAAAATTTTATTCAAATTTTTTCAAAAAAATATATATAAAAGATATGGCATGATTATGTCAGAATAGAGTAAAAAATTCCATTAAAAAAAAAATTTTTTGGAAAGACTTTTGTGATATGAAGATCAATATGAAATGATGATAAGTAAAATTTGTAATGAAGATCCAGGTGGGTTTTTTTATATATTAGATTAGATTAGATAGATAGATGACGATTATTCAATATTGAAATATTTTCTTGTACATAAACATAACGATAGCAGCACTACCAAGCCAATAGAATACTGTTTGACTAACAGCTGGTACATAGGTTCCAAGAACAACTTTCTAAAAATTTATAACAAACAAAACAGACAAAACAATTTGAATTTGAATTTGAAATGTTCAAATGCAATAAATACACATACCCATCCGCCATGATTAGCAATCCATCCACAAATACGATTTAGTATATAGTTTAGAAACCAATTAAACAAACGTTTAAAGCTAGCCAATCGATTATTATATGCACGAACAACAACATCCGAACAGAAAAAAAATAAAACAACAATACGTTCACGTGTAATACCATCGACAAATAATTCTTCTAAAAATTGTCGAAAATCATCATAATTAATATGATCAATTTCGACATGTTGAGCTTGTTCCAAAACACGATTACGTTCAGAACTTCGAGCAAATTCTATCGATATAGCATTCAAATCTCGTCCAATTTGTTTCATTAAGGCACTACTAAGTTGACAGTTTCTATAGTTCAATGGGAGGTGGAAATGAAAAACAAACATTTTAAAAAATTGAAAAACAAACGAAAGCAGGATCATACATACAAAAAATCTAGATCGGGATTTGTTTCGATTGCTGTTTCATCAACTTGACCACTATTTAGCAATTGTTCACGTATTAATGTTGAAAATAAACAGCTTGTATATTGTTTTATCTCTTCCTCTTCATTATCATCGACATAGGCAATGGTAGGCATCTTTGAAACATGGAATCCAAGAAGAATAATTTATTTCGAAAAAACAAACGAATGCAAACGATGATGATCAACGAATGAATGAATGAATGTATGTGCGTTTCAAACCAATTCTTTTGCGCTATTGTTGCAATGCAATTCGTTGTTTTTTTTTATTGTTGTTTCCCGCAAAATAAAAACAAAAATGGAGGGAATTTTTTTTTCTCTCTTCTTTTTTCTATTGAGCCATCCAAAATAAAATGAGAAACAGTTTTTAATCAATCAAATTGAAGATCAGCGATTTACACGTACATTTCTTTTCAACAAAAAAAAAATTAAATGCAGCATCCAGCACAAGCAAAGCAAATAGAAAGAATATCTGGCTCGATCAAAAACCAAAACAAACTCTGAACCTTTCTTACGAACATAATACGTTCGAATTGAACATTGTTTGACCCTCCTTCATAAAGGCGTGTCCTGTGGTGTGTGAACTGTGTGAATCAACACAGTGGAAAGGTCAATTCCATTCATTCATTCGAAATTTTTTTTCAAAATTCAAAAAAATTTCAAAATTCAAAAAATTTTAAAGTTTTTTTTTTAATTTTCAAAAGACAGATTATATGATATTATCACAGTGTTTATTATATTTATAATCTCTCTCGTCTTTTTCGGAATTAATTTGTACCAAAACGTATGATGGGAAAATATGGTGTTTCGTTAAAGTTAAATTCAACACAACCCTATGGAAAAACAAAATTCAAAATTTGTAAATTTTTTCAAAAATCAATCAAACAAACAAAACATACCTTATTATTGTGACCAGAAAGAAATAGTTTCAAAACAATATTATTTGTTTTAGCAACTTTTATATATGATTGAATCTATTCTCGTTTGTAAATTGTAAAAAAATTATAAATTTTTGTTATAAATTTTTTTTTATAAAAATCACTTTACCTCATCATTAAATGTTAAATCATTTTGTAATGATTCAAAATATTTTCTTGCCTGTTCAAATAGATGACATGCTTCCTGATAAAGTATTATTGTTGATTTTTTTGATTCAACAAATCTATCAAAACATTCACGATAATTATTATATGATTGTAATGTACCATCTGATTGTAATAATGGTTCAAAACGATGTTTATAACGTATCTCTTCACTATTTAAACTTTTTGTTAATATTTTAATTTTTTTATCAATTATAAATGCAATCATTAAACGATACATTGCAGCCGACATTTGATTCAGTCCTTTATAATAATTAACAAATGATTCATGTATCATATTATTACGTTGATTATTATTATTGATTTTTGATTTATTTTTACGACGATTATTACTTTTATTGTTGTTTATCATTGTTGAATTATTTGTTGAATCTATAAATTATAAAAGTTATAAAAGTAAAATTATAATTTTTAAAAAATCATCAAATCAAATCAAACTACTTACTTAAAAATAATTCATGTTCCATATAATTTTCAAAGGCACGTTTCAATATTAATGATAAATAATCACAAATATGATCTAATTCAAAATAAATATAACTATATTCATTTAATGAATATAATTCCAATTCAAAACCACTAAATAAATATTGTTGTACAAAATAAAATTTATAAAACATTATCCATATTTGCAGATGATCACAATATGAACGATTCAATAGAATTTGTTCCAATATAGCACATTTTTCATTAATATAAATAATTTCTTTAAATACTAATGCTAATTTTGTACGTTGACTTGCACGATTATGGCCATAAATTTGTAATAATTTTTTAAAAAATTGTGAACATAAATCAAAAAATGATTCAATAATTTCTTTAGTTTCAGATTCCATTTGGATTTTTCCACATAGAATTGGTGGTTTAATAAAACGTTTACATGATTCTTTTATAACATTAACAAATTCACGTTCACCAAAAACAAAATCATCTTGTGGTAGATAAAATAATTGTAATAATGAACGAGATACAATACAAGTTGTTGTTGTTGTTGCTGTTGTTTGTTTTTGTTGACTATAATGATTAAAAAATCTTAATATATCAATAAATTTATCAATTTCATAAATTTTCAATATTTTACGTATACGTTGTAATAATTTACGTAAATATTCAACGGTTTCATTACGATTTTTAATCTTTGTATAACGTGGAAATGATGGTGCTAATAAACGTTGATTGATTAATGGTTCAAAACCAATTATTGTTGGATAATCAGGTTTATTTACTGCTGATGTTTGCTGTTCAACATTGGTTATTATTGCAGGTTTAATACCCAGATCAATAGTAGCCAACCATTGATCAATCAAACATTCAGATTGATTTAGATTTTCCTGTAATTGTTGAATAAATTCATTAATTGATAATGCATTTTGTTGATTTAAATATCGTTTGAATGAATAAAAACAGAGGAAAAAATTTTTCGTAAATTTTATTCTTATTAATAATGCTTCCAGTTTTCGTTGTTGATCATTATCGATTGATTTATTATTATCGATTTCAGTACGAATTTCTTCTTCAATCATTTTGAGCATTGGTAATATTTTCGATATATTTACATTATTAGCCAAATCGAATCCATAATTTTTTGGTTGAAAATCTTCTTCTTCATAAACATTAGCACGACTTATGAATGTAATAATCATATCGATAATTTTCAATATTGTCAAACAAAATGTTTTCAATGTTTTATTCAAAATTAATTGTGGATTATGTAGAAAAACATTAATAAACATTGTTTGTGCTAATGAATGTCCATTTATCCATGTTACTAAACAACAATATGTATCATCAATAATTCCAATCAATTCTTCATAAGTGAATGAATCAATTTTGATTAAATTTTCTTGAATCATATCTTCAAATTTATAAATTTTCTTTTGATTTTTATTATTATTGTTCATCATACCGGCATCCATTTTTGGATCCATTAATTCAATTGCAGCCATTGCATCATACAAACTGAACATAACATCATGAACTAATTCACCAAGTTTTAATTCTAAAAATTTTTTACAAAAAAAAGGAAAAAAATAGAAAATATTAATAATGAAAATATCACTTGTTTTACAAAAAAAAAATTTTCATACTTTCGGTTGCATTTTTAAAATCATCCGTTATATCAATCCAATTATATTCGTTGATTTTTTTAAACGAATCCATTTTGAATCGGGTTTTGGTTAACAAAATCTCTCTCGCTTCAACGCTCAAACAATTATCTTTCTTTGTTTTGTATTTCAACAAAAAATCGGAATCTCACATCTATACTTTCGAATCCAATCCGAATTGTATACAGAAAATATATTCTTTATTTTCAATCAAAAATCAAATTTGTTTTCAATTCAAAACATGAAAAAATTATGTAAAAATTTTCTTTTCGGTAAACATGTGTTTATGTGAGATCCGCGAATATTGATTCTATCGATGTTGAAATCGAATTTTTTTTTTTTTGAACATTGTATATGAACGGTCAAAAAAAAATGCGGCCATTATGAGAGGGTGAGCAAATGTAATTAGGTGAAAACACACACACACACAAAGAGTGAGAGTTAAGTTGTTCAACAAAAGCCCACACAGCCTTTATATAAAAATTGAGCCAAAAAAAGAAATTTTCATTTTCAGTTTTTTTTGCTTCGTTTCTCTCACGCATTTTGTTTGTTTGTTTTTTACTTTTTTCAATCAACAAATCTATTTTCCGTTTTTTTAAAACTGAATCCCGTTTAGCAAAAATCACGTTTTTTTCCCCACAAATTTTTAGCAGAGAAAACAGCTTTTTCGTTTCATTCATTTTTTCCAACTAAATCATCAAAGTTACCATTATCATCATGTCGGAAAGAATTGATATGTCATTAGATGATATTATTAAACGTGATCGTATTACAACTGGACGTCGTGGACGAGGTATTGGTGCTAAAGGTGGTCGTGGTGCACGATCTTCAGTCCGTGGTAGTATTGGTGGTGGTAATCGTAAATCGGGTAATATTCGAAAAATTGGTGCTACAGCTCGTCAAATGAAAGCTGGTGGAAGTAGCGGTGGTGGTGGTTTAAGACGAAACAAACCAACAAATGTATGAATTTCCCCCCCCCAAAAAAATAGATTGAGTAATCATTCTTTTTGTTTCTTCCTTCCTAGGCCAGAGTTTTACCCGATAAATGGGCACATGATAAATTTGTAGCCGAAATTAAATCCGCAACTTTAATGATTTCCAATCTTGATTATGGTGTATCAGGTATTTCCTATTTGATTTAATCATTTTATGTTTTTTTTTTCTTTATTTTTTTGAAGAAAAACGAAGAACAACATTTTAAACATTATCTTTACTTTTTTAATCATCTTTATTTTGAAATCAAAAAATGAACAAACAAAAAAAAAGATCAAGATATTCGTGAATTATTTTCGGAATTTGGTCCATTAAAAAAAGCAACCGTACATTATGATTCATCTGGACGATCACTTGGTAAAGCTGAAGTTATATTCTTCAAGATAAACGATTCAATTCGTGCCATGAAAAAATACAATGGAATACCACTCGACGGTAAATTTGCGTTTCCTTCTTGATGTTAATATTGAATATTGAATGGATATGAAATTTATAATAATGCGCTCTCTGTGTGTGATGATTGAAAAAATGTTACTGCAATAATCTGCTATAACACAAAAATGAGTCCAAAAAAATGTTTGTTGTCCGGCATATATAGTTTCCTGACAAATTTGGACAACAAAAAAAAATAGAGGCCCAGTATATATTTGATGACCTTTGAAAATGATTGATTGATTGATATCTTTCATGAAAGATCATAATACTTTTTTTTAGAAATTTTCAATTAATTATGGGATCACGATTCGATTGATGATGATGATCCTCGATTTGAATATCTTTTGTTGTTGTTGCCTGGGGGGTAATGTTTTTGGCGATTTGGGCGTCTCAACACGCTGAAATTCGCGAATGTTATTGATGAATTTTCCTTTTGAGAAAAATTTGCAGCAACACAGCAGCAGAAGCAGTATAATCAACATTTTTTGTTGTTGAAGGCCCAGCACATTCAATCAAATTCAATCAGCCACAATAATAAATCATATCCATGATCGAAAATAAAAACATCCATCGTGTTTAACCAAAGTCCTGTATATATAATCTACCCGTATTAATATAAAATATAGGACGCCCAATGCAAATTCAACCAGTGGTAACAACGACGGCCAAAACAAATATCGCATCTCGTATCGGTAATCCTGATATATTCAAAAAGAATATTGCTAATATTGGTGGTGGCGGTGGTGGTGGAAATAAACCTCGTGGAATTGGTCGTAATGGTCCGGTGCGAAATGCTTCTGGTCGTCGTGGCCGTGGCGGTAGAATTGGACAACGTGCTGGAATACAACGGTAAATAATATTCATTTTTTTCATTAAAAGAAACATTTTTCTAATTTTTTTTTGTTTTGTAAAATCATTAGTGGACAAAGGACAAAAGTTCCAACCGCCGCTGAATTGGATGCCGATCTTGATGCCTATTCAAACAAAGTATGTAAATTTTCTATGCAAAATGATTGAATTCTGACTAAAAAAAATTCTTTGGAAAACAGGTTTAAATCAGAATCATGAAATGGATTTTGTCCGAACAATCATCATTAATATAAAATGTCAAACGCTAAAAATCATTCATCACCAAAAAAAAACTTTGAAAAATCATATAAGAATTTTAACCAATCTTTTGTATCACTCTTTAAATTCAATAATCTAATTTCAAAAAAAAATGTTTTGATTGATAATAATCCACCAATTTGTAATACCATTCAATTTTTCGTTAAAATAATTTTGTCTATTTAGTATAAACCAAAAACAAACAAACATTTTTAATTCATTAAAATTTTTATCAAACGAAATATCTATCTATTGATTATCAATATTGCTTGAATAATAATATAACAGAAAATTGATAAGAAAAAATCTTCCGAAAATTGTCCAAATGTAAATCGGATATTATTATTGTTGTTGTTGTTGATAATGTTTGAAATTCGATTTTGGCATTGACCATTATCATTATATTGGCCATTATTATAATAATTCATTAACCAATTGAATACAAAATTAATCGATTCGAATGTAAAAAATAATGCAGTAAAATTCAAACCATAATATGAACCAATACAAGAAATCGTAAATAATAATAATTTCAAATTCATTAAATATAATGATGGCCAAATAAATATTTTGGATAATATTGAATTTTGTTGCTGTTGAAAACGTTGTGATTGTTGTAATGTTTTATAATGTATTGGTGATGATATTAATGATACTTTACGTGGAAATGATTCATCTCTTGGTGGTAAACAACCATGTTGTGGTTGATTTACTATTGAATCGATTGTTGCTGTTGATGATGATTGTTCCGAATGATTAGGAAGAATAATATGCTATGAAAATTTTAAAAAAATCATTAGGATTCGATTATTTTGGAAAATATAAACATTGTACCTGACGAGATGATGATGATGAACATTCAGAACGGTGAGCATCAAAAGTATTTGATGAAGATGATGATGATGATGGTGGTGGTAAATCTCGTGAGATATCATTATCACGATTCGCTGTTGTCGATGATGTTTGTGATGATTGACTTGATTGAACACCAAAAATACGATTCATTCGATCCTCTGAATTGGTCAGTATTTTTGCACGCCTTAACCGGGCTCGTTTTTCAGCTTGTGATGATGAATGATCCATGATGGTTTTTTTTCAATGAAAATTATTATTAAATTAATTAATTGATTCGAATAATAAATGTTTTAAAAAAATTTTAAACTTTTAATGAAATAAAATTGACTTAAATAAACAAGAACAAAAAAAAAATATTGCTTCAATGTTCATCATTCGATCATTGGAGTATATATGTAGCCCGTAATAATCGATATAATCGATAGTTTTGTCGATTGTCGATGGTGTTCGACAATTTTTCGCAATTAGCTTCCTATTTGTTTCGATGTTCGATCAAGATTCTAAAAGATTTTGTAAATGTTTTATATATGAAATAGCTAAACGTAATGTTTCAACTTTGGATAAACGTTTTTCACGTTGATTCGGTAATAATGGTAAATGATTTCTTAAACGTTCAAATCCATCATTAACATTACGAACTCTTGTACGTTCACGTTCATTACGACGTTTGATGAATGTTGATGAATCAAAATAGCTATGATTATCATTACCACCACCACCATATAGATTCGGTAATGGTATTCGACATTTTGGACTAAATGGATCTTCTTTTTCATTATCATCATCAATATCATCTCCATCATCATAATCACCATCTTCGATGCCATTTTCATTATTATTATCATCACAATCAAAATCAATAGTGGTAATCATTGTCATAATATCATTATTATTATTATTAATTGATTGTTGTTGATATTGTTGTTGATCTAGATTCAAAAAATTAATGTTGTTGTCCATCATTTGATTGGAAACAAAAACCTATTCGATTCGATTGATTCAAACTAAATGATCAATACATTTCATTTTTCAAACTTTTGGACGGTTGATGAACACTATCTTGATCATCATTATGGACAGCATCATTTTTTATTTCAATGTTCAATCCATTCTACTACTATATGGTGAAATACAATATATTTGTCAGAAAAAAAATGAAAGAAGACATGCATCATTAACACCGATGCGGATGTTTTTTTCATTCTCTCCATTATTCAAATACAACGCGTGCAATAATAATAATTTTGGCCCTATTAATAATAGAACAATGGTTATACAATTCTGTTGAATACAAAATAGGCACCTGTATTCAATGTAAACAATAATTTGTTGGCCAAAAAAATGACAATGACAACGAACGATCCTAATAGTTTTTTTTTCTTCTAAACATTCGAATCGTATCAAATTCCTTGGTTAATCCCATCACTTGTCATTTTCGTTCGTTGGTTAAATAATTAATGAAAATTTCAAAGAAAATAGAGAAAAAAAAGTGAATTTTTATTTATGAATTCAACAAATGAAAATCAATAACAATGAATAATGATAATTTAACAATGAATGAATGAAATGGAATCAAACTAATGATTCATTTTTAATTGAATATTGTATGAATATATCCTGAAGTTTCGAATCAATAAGATCTAATGCATTCAATTCTTTAAATGGTAAACGACCAATTGATTGTGCCAAACGTTTTAATGCAGCAATTGATGCTAATAATACTGTATCACTATAATTTCTTTGTTTAGGTTCTTTACATAGTTGTATCAATTTGGAAACACCATTTAATTTATAGATAATTTTTGCTGTACTTTTATGATTACCCAGACGTGCTAAAGCGACGGCAATTTTTTGCTGTATTCTTTCGATTGATAATATTTTTGATCTTTCCATCGTACGATTATCATTATTATCAATATCGATAGCCAATAATGTTTGTATTAAAAATATTAGACCACCACTACTAACAACAATTAATTGATGTTTTTGTGACATATTTGCCAATAATGTTATTATTTGATCTTTTAATAATGATTGATCCATTGATGATTCAAATCTTTGTCGAATCGAATTCAATACAATGGTTAATGTATCATATTTGATTAAAGAATCAGTATTCATAAACGATATGTTAGCTAATGCAGCACAAGACATTAAAAATATTTGATCATTTTTGGTTGTTGTTTTCAATATTCCGGTTAATCCTTTTACCAATTCATTTATTAATGATTTTCCATTTAAACTTCCTAGTTCATCATTATTATTGACGATTATTTTATCTTTATTATTATCAATAAACACTGTGGTTACTTGAACAAGAAATCCAACCATTTCTTTTTGAATTATTTCTTCTTCATTATTTTCATTCAATAATATTGATATTAAATATTTATTGTTGATAAATTCCTGCAGAATTTGTTGTACTGCATCACGATTAGCTGATAAATATGTTAATACACGTAATGCTGCTGCTTTTATATGATTTGAATCATCCAGAGAAATATTATAATAATTTTGTACAATATCCAATAGATAATTGATAATTTTTTGATTTTCAATGAACAAACGACACATATATGGATCATTTTGTGTCAATTGCCATAATGCTAATAATGACCATTTTAAACAAAGACGACTAGTTTTTTTATTCAAGGAGGTAACAAGAATCTGTCCGAAACAAAATCGATAAATTAAAAATAAAAAAAATCAAATTAAAAAACTTACCAATGATTCTTTCTTAATGGTAACATCAACCAATTCACCAAAACTTTCTTTTAATTTTCGAACGTTTGCTTCAATTTGTGCATTATTAACATTATTATGTTTCCAAATGGAATTTTTCATAAATTTTATAGTCTGTTCACAAATAACGATAACATCTGTAGATAATTGTTTATTGACAATAAAATCACATCCTTTTCGTTTACAAATTTCAATTAATGATTGTATTTTTTGAAATGTATCTTGGAATTTTTCTTCAATATAACAAAGACCATTATCATAATAAACAGGTAATGAATCAATTATTGAATCTAATTCATCAATAATCAATGTTGAATTCAGACGAATTTGTTGTATGGATATCTGGGCATTACGTATGGATAATGCTTCAAATGATTCTGGTGTGGTAGCAACGGATTTTGCTTGTAATGCACTTAGACTTTCAACTTCTGTTAATGATTGTAGTTCATTTAGCCAAACCTGCACAGGTGATTCGTAATAAGCCTATGGTGAAAATGAAAAAACAAAAGAAAAGAAAAAAATGATGAAATTGCCAACATTTAGTCAAAAAAGAACCAAAAAACAAACATACAAATTCAAAACCAGGACTTGAACAAATACCATAACGTTTTTGACTACGATTATGAAAATAACGTTGATTCATCATTGCCATAATTGGTGATAATTTTTCATAAATAACCATTTCGTTTTTTGTTTTTTGAGATATTTTTGCAAATGAAACAAGCAAAAATTTAAAAAAAAAAGTTTCCGTCCGCTCTAATCGACAATCATAAATCGAATGATGGAAAAAAAATATCTCAACGGTCATGATGAGATCAACAGATTTTTTTTGTTTTGTTTTCATTCGAAAAACTACCAGACGCTACTTATTATCCTAAATCTGATCCAAATACAACAACCAGCAGCAGCAGCAGCTGTCGTTTTTATTAGTTTTTTTTTGATGACAAAAGCCATGAGCCAGACACGCGTCAAAATACATTTTGTATCGAACCACCACCGAACCCAAAATATGTTTGATGAACAAAAAGAGAGAGAAAACAAACACGCGTTCAGTTTTGGTTTTGAAAATTTGATTTTTCAAATAGCATCTGCTGTTTCTCTCTCTGTGTTATTCCGTTAAAAGTCTTCGGGTGATAAGGCCACGTGCCCAAACCAACCCACCAACCAATCAATGACCCTGATCATCGATGATTTGATTGATTCGGTTAGCTGCTGGCTGTTCTGCAATCTGTTCGAACCAACCATGGTGATAAAATAACTGTTGAAAATGAAAAATAATTTTTTCCAGCCAGCCAGCCAGCTTTCCAAACACGACAGATGTTCATTGATTCATTCATTCAACAACGAACAAAAATGAAATGATTGAATGAACACCCACCATAATTAAGAAATGTTGGTTGTTGAAATAGTATATACCAACTATCACCACCACCACCACCACCACTACTACTAAGATTGGTTGACAACCATCCGGGTCAAACACACACAGTTGGAAATGGCCTCTTTTTTGACCTTCAACCCCAAAGTTAAATTTGAAATGAAACAATTTTTTTTTTTTTTTGCATATTCAATTTTCATTTGAATTTGGTCGGTATTCTTTGGTTTTTATTTTTTTACTTGACATCATTTAATTAAAAGAATTTTGATGTTTTTGTTGTTGTTTTTTTTTTTAATTTAAAAACAAATGATACTTGAAAAATGATTATTTTTTTTTTCAAGAAAAAATTACCTTGAACCTTCATATAGGCGAGTAAGATAAAGATGAAGACGGCATTTGATAAATCTATCTACCAAAAAAAAAAAAAGTTGAAGCCCATTAATCTTTAGGTGTTTAGAAAATTGATGATGATGATGATGTTGATCAGCATCTTAGTCGTTTTGTCAAGGAGGAGTTTCATACCTGAATTTTCGTTTCGTTTCGAAAAAACAAGAAAATCTTCAATTCACTTTTTCTTCGTTGTCGTCGTTGTCGTTGTCATAATGGCAATCACACACACACACACATCACTGATAATCTTTTCTTTTTTTTCTCACACAAACACTTAATTTTCTTCAAATGGAAAAAAAAATCCATAAGGTAAAATCGGTTACCTTCTGTTGTCGATTAATTATTATTATTAATCTTGACACTGACTTTGTGATGATGATGATCATCAACCATATCGACAATGATGATGATTATGATGATGGTAACGACCAGCAAAAAACGTTTCATGATTAGAAAAAATTAACCGGTTGCTACTGAAGTAATGGATGGAATTTTCAATTTTTTTCATTTTCATTTTTTTTGATCTTTAATATGCGTTTTTTCCCAACAACAAAAAAAATAATATTTTATTTCGGGGAAAAAATTAATTTTGAAAACGATTTTCAAACGAGAGATAAAAATGAGTGAAATTTTTCGAATGGTGAGAAAAAAAAGAAGGGTGATTATGATGATGGTGGTCTTTGAATAAAAAAAAAAGTGAAGTGAAGAAAACAACACCTGAAAAAATAATCTTATCTCGGTGGTCGATTTGAATTTTTTTCAAATTTTTCAATTTTTTGTTGTTCAATAAATGATCAGATCGGGAAAATTGAGAAATTGAAAAAATGTCAACTTGAAAAATCCAACAAAAAGCAAAAAGGAAAAAACTTTTGTTTGACCGAAGAAAAAAGAGAAGGAAGACATTCGATTCTATTTTGACCCATACCGTTCCTTTTGTTGTTATTGTTTGTTTGTTTGGTTCAATATTTCCAATTCGTTCGAATTGGTGAATCAACCCGAATTTTGGAAATTTTCTTTTCAATTTTCTTTATTTTCGTTTTAGTTTTTTAGTTTTGGTGACAATGAAACGCGCAATCGATATTATTTATTATCATAATGAATGAATGAATGAATGGGTAATAGATCAAAGTCAAAGTTTTGAGAAAAAAAAACGACGGTGAAAAATCTTTTCTTCTTGATTTACCCCACCACTATACGTGCATTTTCGGTGTTTTTTCACATTGTATAAGGCTCAACGAAAAACAGGTAATATGCAAGAAATAAGAATTAAAAACGAAAAAGAAAATCAGCCAAATGCAAACAAGTAAGATTAATTTTTGTTTTTTGTTTGTGAAGAAAAAAGACCGACAATTTTAATTCCAAATCGAAAAAATTGAAATGAAATGAAATGAGCGTGTTAGATTAAAATATTCTATGTGTGGTGTGTTTGAAAATCATCATCATATAACAAATCATAACCAACCGAAGCCAAAGAACGAAAAAAGCAAAGATTTTGTCCAAATAACGACATACAAACAGATTTTGAGAATAAATCTCTGCCAGTGTGTTCGGTGTGGTGGTTGGTCATCGGTGTCAGGTGNAAAAAGCAAAAGGAAAAAACTTTTGTTTGACCGAAGAAGGAAGACATTCGATTCAGAAAAAATATTCGATTCTATTTTGACCCATACCGTTCCTTTTGTTGTTGTTTGTTGTTTGGTTCAATATTTCCAATTCGTTCGAATTGGTGAATCAACCCGAATTTTTGAAAATTTTTTTTTCAATTTTTTTTTTTTCGTTTTAGTTTTTTTTTTTTTTTTGGTGACAATGAAACGCGCAATCGATATTATTTATTATCATGAAATGAATGAATGAATGAATGGGTAATAGATCAAAGTCAAAGTTTTTTTTGAGAAAAAAAACGACGGGGAAAAATCTTTTCTTCTTGATTTACCCCACTATACGTGCATTTTCGGTGTTTTTTCACATTGTAACGTATCCAAGGTTCGACGAAAAACAGGTAATATGCAAGAAATAAGAATTAAAAACGAAAAAGAAGAAGAAACAGCCAAAATCAACCAAATGCAAACAAGTAAGATTAATTTTTGTTTTTTGATTTTTTTTTGTGAAGAAAAAAGACCGACAATTTTAATTCCAAATTGAAATGAGCGTGTTAGATTAAAATATTCTATGTGTGTGTGTGTGGTGTTTGAAAAATCATCATATAACAAATCATAAACAACCGAAGCCAAAGAACGAAAAAAGCAAAGATTTTGTCCAAATAACGACATACAAACAAATTTTGAGAATAAATCTCTGCCTGTGTTCGGTGGTGGTTGGTCATCGTTGTCAGGTGAGAATGAATTGAATATTTTTTTTTCAAATGTTTTTTCTTTTTCTTTTTTTTTTGAAGAAATCACACGCACACCTTGACGATATAATAAGGTGGTGTAGATTGAATTGAATTGAATTTCAAAAGAAGAAAAACATAAACCATATTCAACATTCGAAAGGTGCTAACTTTTTTCATTTGATCATTTGATTCGAATGCAAGAACATGATATCAGTTTTGAATGTTTTCTTCTTCTTCAAAATTTCAATAATGTGACCAAAGAAAAATATGATAATTGAACGTTTTATGTGTATTGATCTTTAAAAAAAATCTGTGATAATGTCATCATTATTATTGTTAATTTTTGTTATTGTTTTTGTTGTTGTTGTTGTTGTTGATTCGACTGAAAATATTGCTTCATCCAAATTGATTGAAGATCAAATCTATTGGTCATCAAATATTGATCGATCAACCAATTCGAATAATGATTTTGATAATGAAATTATCAATTGGATTGACAGTATATCCAAATCGAAATTTATTCGATTCGAATCCGGTTGTGGTCGTATGCAAAATCGTTTGTTAATCACTGATCAAGGTGATAAAATCTGTGCACGTTATCGTCATAATAATGAACAAATTTTTGGTGAATATTATTCATTTTTATTGGCACGTATTCTACAGATTTCAAATGTTTTACCAACAACATTAATTACATATAATGTAAATGATCGTTGGAAATCTATTGCCAATCTATTATCAAATAATCAAACCAAATGGAAAACAAACAAAACAATTGTATTGACAAAATATTTGAAAAATTTAAAACCAACATTAATTCCTAGACAATTTCGTTCGAAATCAAAACGTTTATATCCGATTTATGATGATTTAAATCAAAATCAAACAACTATTATTTCCGAACTAATACAATGGTCTGATTTGATTATATTGGATTATTTGACTGGTAATACTGATCGTATGATTAATAATATGATTAATGAAAATTGGAATCCACAAATGATGGAAAATCCTGTACATAATTTATTAAAACAACAACAACAAAACGACGATAAACTTATTTTTATCGATAATGAATCTGGCCTATTTCATGGTTATAGATTATTAAAACGTTATGAACATTTACATCGATCATTATTGGATGGTCTTTGTATATTTCGTCGTTCAACAATTGAAAATTTGGAAAAAATTTCCAAATTAAAATCAAATCAATTTTTAAAATTATTACAAAATTATTTTGATCATTTTACTATTGAAACGGATAAAAATTCCAAAAATTTAATGCCTACAAAAAATTTCAACATACTACGACAACGAATCAAACAGATATTGAAACAGGTTGAAATTTGTAAAGAAAAACAATTTTCTCTCTTATCGTCTCATTGATAATTTTATTATTTTTATTATTTTCATTATTTAAATTGTTAAAACCATAATATTATAATTTGTAAAATAACAATAATAATAAAAAAAAGTGTTTTTAATATTTTTTTTTTGTTTTAGAAATAATTTCTCAAGATGTTACATTGTTTTTTCATTTCATCGTTGGTCAATAAACATAAATTTAATGGATTATCCTGTTTATCATGTTGTTGTAAATGTTGATAAATTTGATCAATATTACCACCAAAATCTGTTTGTTTTCTCGGTATAACATGAACATGTAAATGTTGTACCGATTGTCCAGCATCTTTACCATCTTGTATGGCAACGGTTGATGCTTCAGCATTATAGATCAGTTCGATTGCTTTCTGTACTTTTTGTACTAATCGAAATAGATCAAATAATTCATCATTATTTAGTTCGGATAAACGTTTTGAATCCGGTCGTAATGGTGATACTAAAACATGACCAGGTAATACTGGTCGATGATTAATAAATGCAATTGAATAAAATGTTTTTGCAAATATTTGATAAGTTTTCACGATTGCATCTGGTCCAAAACGAAAATCTTCCAAATCAAGATGAGATTGTTGTTGTTGTTGTTCGGATTTTGTTACCAAATCATTCATTGATTCGCTATAAGTTGGACGAATATAACCATATAGTTCTGGTTTTCGATCACTCCAAACAGGTAAACGTTGACGAATTTCTTTCAAATAATCAAAATCAATTTCAGCCACAGCATAACCAGGTTTTTCATCATTGATTTCGGTTAAAATTTTACCCCAAGGATCAATAATCATAGCATGACCATATGATTTTCGTTTTTCATTATGAGCACCAACTTGAGCGGCAGCAACAACATAACATTGTGTTTCAATTGCACGTGATCTAAGTAATATTTCCCAATGTGCTTTACCGGTTGGTATTGTAAATGATGATGGATAACTTAGAATATCGGCACCAGATTTAGCCAAAGAAATGGCAAATTCAGGAAAACGAACATCATAACAGATACCCATTCCAAGTCGACCACAAGGTGTTTGTGGTGGTTTGATAACTGCATTTCCAGGTCGAGAAAATTCTGATTCAACAAGTCTGGTGCCTGGAATATCCAGATTAAATAGATGAACTTTACGATAAATCGAAACAATTTGACCATCTTGATCGACAATAATATGTGCATTGAACAAACGTTTATCATCATCCGATTCGGGAACAACTTTTTCATGTAAACCACCTAACGATAACCAAATATTTAAATTTTTTGCTAAATTTTGATATCGTTGAACTGTTGGTCCATTAATTGGTTCACCATTTTCCATTGTTAATTTTTTACTTGGACAAATCATATCAAAACATTCGGGTAGAAAAGCCATACGTGCACCATCATCTCGGGCCGATTTAATTAATTTTTCTGCAATTTGATAATTTTCATCTTTATTCTGTTTCGATGTTAATTGTATGACAGCAATTTTTGTTTTTTTATTATTATTCGAATCCATACTAAAATGATTACGTTGTTTTACTAATGAAGATGATAATTGTAGAATTTTTCGATTAAATCTATAGTTTGTAAAATAACTACCAACAAACATAATTTACGGGAAAAAAGACACCGAAACAACCGAAAAACGAAATTTAACAAATTTTTATCATAACACCGATAACATCATGAGATTTGAGATTGCAAAACAAAAAAAGAAAAAGTTGATTTTTCTCAATGTTTACATTTTCCCCATTCAATCATTGAATTTATGAACAGCAATTCGAATCGAACAAGTTTTTTGTTTTGTTTTTTCATTTTTAATTTAAAATAAAACGACAAATGATGATTTCAAATACAAGTGTTGTGAAAAAGATAAGTGGATAAATTTTTTTGAATTGTCAAGAAAAAAAATGCAAATACAAACAATCAGAAAAAAATTGATGAATATATTAATAAAATTTGATTGAAATAATAATACGGGGGAGGGAAAGTAAGTGTGTGTATCATGATTAAAATTTTGTTTTGTTTTTTGTTTTCAGGAAGATGATAATCCATACAAAATGGCAATAAATTAAAGATTGAAAAATGATGATCATGATTGATGCACGAAATGAAATGTCGAAAGAACAGATAAGAATTCATATAAGTAATGCTAAATTTTGAATGATGTCGATGTCGATGATAATGATGAAAAGAATGGTAAGAAAAAATAAAACGAATCCAATATATTAAACACTACTAATCATTTAAACTATTACAATTTTGTTTCAATGTTTGACATTCATCATCAAATAATTGTCCAGCTTTTTTCAAATCTATTTGATATTTTTTACTAATTGCTTTGATTATAGCCTATTTAAAAAAAGAAAAGAATGATTATCATTAGAAACATAGATTATTAATCAATAATCTTATTACCTCAGGTATCCAAACCGAATAAATATATCGTCCAATCATTTCATCAGATTTTTCCTGTTTATTTTTCTTTAAACAATCTTCATATAATTTTGATAGATGACTAAATAATTCATCACGTTGTTCTTCATCTTTTATCGGACCAAAATGTAATTGTTCTTCTTCACTGCCAATATTGTTTTCATTCTGTTGTTCCGGTTGTTGTTTTTCTAAAAATTTTTTATGACGACTATTCTGTATTCGGCCTTGATGAATTGATCGTAAATATGAATCAACTGAACCTTCTTTAATAAATTGATAGATAATAGTACCATCGATTGACATTGATGAATTTTTATTTATACTACCACCACCACCACTACCACTATTTGTCGTTGAAATTTCATTCGATTTATTCATTGAATTTTGTTTCATTGAATTTGATTCGAAAAAAAATTCCATTGGATTTATTTCATCTTCTAATGCACGTTTCCGAAGATAATGTTCAACTTTTTGTACGGTACGTGATTCATTTGGATGATTTTTTAGAAATTTATTCACTACAGAACGATCATGCGATACAACCGATTTGGTTGTTGCTTTAAAACTATATTCAAAAGAAGAAGAAGAAAAAAAACAAAGAAATTAACAAATTACAATCAAATTACATTCAATACATACCTAGTATTTTTTCCATTATAATCAATTGCTTTTAATATTAATTTTCGTTCATTAATCGATATATCGATTATTAATGCTGGCCATAAACCGGATCTTTTTTTCACTTCAACCCAAACAATATCTTTGATTGAAAATCCATCAAGTTTTTTTGATTCTTCATCATCTTCTTCCTCATCATCTTCTTCTTCTTCAATGTTTTCTTCATTATTTTCTTCTTTTTTGTCCATTTCATCATTGTTTACAGATTGATCATGATTAATCGAACCATTGTCATCAATGGAATTATTATTTTCATTATGAATAACCCCATCGCCACCACCATTTAGATTAACTTTTTTCCCTTCTAATTCATCTTTATTATTATCATCGATTTCGGCTGCTTTACGTTTTCGTAATAATCTGCTACCAGTATTTTGGTTTGATGATTGTCGATTAACTGATTCATTATTATTTTTTGTCAATGATGATGGTGAAGAATTGTTTCGAACAATAGTTTTCGTTGGTGATTGATTATTATTATTAGTAATATGATGTTTTTGATTCGAACGAAAACGTTTACAACACCAATTTTTATGTGAATGAAATGCATCAACAATTTGTGTACGATAATCACAAATATCGCATATCATTGCTGATGATAATGGTTCATCACGACATTCCGGTTGTATTCGAATAGATATTTTTAATTGTTGTTTTTTACCAATTCGATAATCACAACAATCATTTGTTGAACGACGATCTTTTCGTTTAAAATCAACAACGTCAACAACATTCGAATCTTCATTGGTGATTGGAGTACAAATAGTGGCAGCAATCGGTTTTGTATTAGATTTTGTATCAGAAATTGATTTTTGAGTATTATCATCCGATACCATTGGTATATCAACATCTTTCGGAAGATTATTAACCGGTGATGATGGTATATTACGAAATGATACACGTTTTTTTGGTTGTTGTAACGGTATCGATGACGTTGATGATGATGATTGTTCTGGCTGTTTTTCTTTTTGATTAACAAGCTGCGATTTTAAAGATCTAGTTTGTGTACGTACAGCAGATTCTTTTTTATTATTATCTTTATTATCCAAATTTTTTGCCAATTCAATTGATCCACTTTTTTTCAATATTTCCAACGTCTTATTATTTGAATTTATTGATATTATACCTTTACTATTATTATTCATCATTATTTTAACCGTATCGGATATTTTATTTTTATTCATTATTATTTCACCACTAATTTTATTTGTTGTTTGTATTTGATTGAATTTAGCTGTTGATGATAATGATGTTGGAAGTTTGTCTTGGTTGGTTTTTGTTATCGTTCGGGGATACCACATTTTTGTCGATCCAATATCATTATCCATATTATTATTATTATCTTCAACAATTTCAATTGTTGTTGTTAGTTTATTATTCTCCTCTATCGTTGCTGGTGTTTGTTCTTTATTATGTTCAGCCGGTATATTTAACCAAACAATATTCGAACGGCTATATGTTTTTAATGATTTTGATAATTGATTTGTTTGATTAAATGTTGATGGATTTATTAATAAATTATCATTTGTTGATTTTTTCAATTTACTAAATAAATTTGTTTGCATCTTTGTTTTATTTGTTGTTTGTTGTGATTCAATTGATTTTGAATTGATTGTTGACGATTTTATTGGATTGATCGATTGTGATGATGATGATAATTGAAATGCTGCAATTTTATTATTATTCTGATTATTGATAATATTTTTGAGATCTTGTTTTCCATTGTTTTCGATTGTTGTTGTTGTTGATTTTAATTTACCGAACAAATCGGCGGATTTATCTTCACTAATTTTCGAAACTAATTCGGCTGTTGTTGTTGTTGTCGGTACTTTTGCTGTTGAAATAGTAATTTGTTGTTCATTTTGATTCGAATCTTTTTTCATTTCACGTTCATGATTTTCTTGGGATTTTTTCGTTTCTTCTTCTTGTTCAACGATTGATTTGATTTCAGAAGTAGGAACTGCTACTAATGAAATTGATGCCTGCTGAAAATCAATCGGTTGTTGTTTTGCAATATTATCAATTGGATTCTGATCAATAACAACGATTGTTTCGCTATGATTATTCAAAGGTAATTGTTCGGTTATTGCTGTTGTTGATGATTGTTGTTGTTGTTGATCTAAAACAACATTTAATGTATTTATTGTTTCTAATTGTTGCTGTTGATCATTAGATTGAATCAATAATTCATTAGCCGTATTTTCAATTGGAACATTTGTTCGTTGTACAATTACTTCTGTTTTTTCACCATTTTCATTTTGAAATGTTGCAATTATTTGTCCATCATCACTTTCCATATATTCACCTGTAAATGTTAATGTTTCACCATAATCCAACATGATTGCCGGTGGTATTTCAATTGTATTCGATAATTGTTCAACAGCTAAATCTTTTATCGATGATGATGATGATGATTGATCTACTTGATTGTTATTATCGGTAACAATTGTATCGATAATTATCTGTTCATTTGGTAATGATTCTGGCTGTTGTTGTTCTGTTACTGTCGCTGGTAATATATCCATTATCATTGTTGTTGGCGTGGTGGTTTGTTCATCCAAATTATCATTATTCAATGAAACAGTTGATGTTGTTGTTGGCTGTTTTGTTGTCGATGATGATGATTCGAATTCAATTGGAACTTCCATGATTGATTGATAATTTTTTTAAAATAAAATGTTCAAAATTGCATAAAACAAAAAATATTATGAAATTTTTTCCTTTTTCTTCAGGTTCAGGTTCTTTTCAATTCAATTCAATTCAATGAAAAAAACAAAAAACAAAAAAAATTGAGTGAGCGCCATATTCGTTGGGTATTGTTGTGTGTGTTGCTGTGCAGTGTGTGTGTAACATGAACAATGTATAAATAGCGTGGTTGTATCTCCTTGCTTGCTTCCATCAATAATTCTTCTTCTTTTCTTTCAATATTTGATTGAAGCGGCTCATTCCTATACAGTTTATACCGTGTAAGTTTATCAAGAAAAAATGTACACTTCTGCCATCTAATGTCATTTTATTTTGTTTTTATTTTTTGAAATTTTTTCAAAAAATTTTTTCAAAAAAATTTTTTTTTTCTAATTTGAAAATTCAATCGAAATCAAATCGATTGATAATTTTTCATGAATCTGATTGAATATATTTAGTAAAATTTTCTGTTCATTTTGTTGTTGTTTTTGTTTTTGTTGCTGTTGTTGTTGTTGTTTTGGTTCAATCATCTGTATCATTTTAACTAAATCTTTGTTCATTTGAAATATTTCCAATATACTTTGCAGAAATAATTCTTCCCAATCATTATTAAAATTTGATAATTGATAAATTTGTATTAATTTGGAAAATTTTTCCAGTGAATCGGTTGAATTTGATTTTCGTCCTTGTTCTAATATTAATCGCCAAATATTTAGTATTGTCCAAACATGATAATTACAAATGTTGATTAATTTTTCCAAATGAATAATATTATCAATGTTTTTGGTTATCTAAAAGGAGAGAAACAAAAACAAAAATGAAAACAAACATTGAAACGACATTGAATAATACTTACTTTTTTCTGTATCAATGTTAATAATTTAGAAAAATTATCCAATGAAGCTGGTGTTTTATCTTTTGATTTGACTAATATACGTTTTTGTAGTACACGATAATGTTGTGAAAATTTTGAAATTTCATCTTTAATTTTTTTCATTTGATTTTTCCTGTTTATACGATTACTAATGGCCAATTGCAGTTGATCGATTAGATTGAAATTCATTTGAATTGATTCAATTTTTTTGGTTTCTGGTGATTTATTCGTCAAAATACGCCAAAATAATTGTTGCAACGTTATATAAAGACCACCAAGATCATTACTTTCAACAATAATTGTTACATTCGATTCTGACCATTGTATTTTGATTGTCGAATGAATTTGTTCATAATTTTCAAAACAAAATGAAAAATTATTTGAATGATTTGTTTGAAAAAGATCACCGAAAAGATTTGATAATAACTGTGTAGATTTACTATCCGTTGTTGATGATAATGATTTTGTAAACATAATTTTTATCGAATATTTTCGACCACCATTCATCGTTGTTGTTGATGCTGATGTTGATGATGATGATATTAATTTTACTAAACATTCAAATGGAATAAATAAATTTTTCGTTATAATTCTTGAAACATTATCCATTGTATACATTATTGAATATTTAATTTTGGTTGATAATGATAAAAGATTTTCATGTTTGAATTGAATTCGCAATTGAAATTGTTGTCGTTGATCCAATTTATCGATTAAAATTTCTTCCGGTTCAATAATGTAGAAATCATTTTGATGTAACAATAATTTTATATTATGGATGGTTTTCGATGGTATCAATTCAATAATCATTATCATTAATCGCTCGGATTGTTGATTTTTTTGACATTCAATTAGATTAATATCGATCGGGCCATCGGTCAATCGATTTTCACGTTCATTTTCAATTTGATTTTGATTTTGATTACTATTCATATGTTCAAAATTAATCATTTTTTTCAATTCCATTAATTCTTCTTCAATTTTTTCATTATTACCGGTATTAGTTTGTAATAATGGTAATGCTATTATACGCAGAGATGGATTCGTTCCCAAATATCCAAAAGTTAATTGTCCTTGATCGGATAGCAAAACAATACTGCCGGTAATATCGTTGAGGTTCGCCCGGCGAATAGCAATCGGTATGAATGGAATTTTTGTTGCCCATCTTAGTATATCATTCTGATACAATAACATATTGTTCATATGTGTTCCAATCAATATGATTATCGAATCTTTTTTATCATTACCAAATATACAAAAACAACTTGGATTTGAATCAAATTTTTTCACAAAAAATAATGTTCCATTATCACGAAGAACACAAAGATTTTTTTCACCCAATATCCCGATATACCATCGATCTAATTGTACTGTTTGCAAATCAATGATTGGTTCACCAAATTCATATGACCATTCTGGAACGGAAATTTTTCCTTGTCCATCATTATTATTATTGAATGAATTGTTTGCTGTTGTAGAATTCATAGCCAATTCACGATATTGATAACATTGAATTGTATATAAATCATCAACAATAATAATAAAATCACGATTAGGAATATAGGTAAAATCTATTGGAAATTTCTTCAACAATCCATTGTTGTTGTTGGTTTGACGATGATTCCAATTATAACCAAATGAAAATGTTTCATTTTCATAAAATTCAAATGTAGATTCTATATTTTGTATACAGATAATATCTTTGCCTTGTTTTTGTTGTTTTTGAAGAAAACAAAATTATCAATCAAAAATCAAAAGATTTTCAAAAAGTTTTTTTTGCCCTTACCTTTAGTTGTTTGTCCTAATGGTCCAATCAACATATTGACGGCTTTATGGCTAAATTCCAATTCATAGATAAGTAGAATGTTGTATGATGTTCCATGATCTGTTACGCCAGATGTTGCTACAAGTGAGAAAACAAAAATGAGAGAAACAAAAATTCAGTTAAAGAAAGTTGCATCAGTGGTGATGATAAAAAGAAGTTGAATTACACGAAATTGAATAAACACATAATTTATTCGGATGTAATATAGCCAACTGTACATTTGCCGAATTCAACAGATATCCAGATGCAATTTGTAATATTGGATTTTTGAAATCAACTTCCAATAATTGATCAGATATTTGAAATAGATTTTGTTCATTCGTTTTAATCTGATCATTATTATTATTATTCAATATTATTTTGAATATACGAACAATACCGTTGAAACTTCCGACGATTATTTTGTCTATGCAACAAACAAGAACAAAGCAAAAACAACATAAATGAAAGTTGACAAAGTTGACATCAAATATCCTTACCAAATCCATCCGGTTCATTATCAATATTCGCCACACAAATTGATAATTTATCAAATTCTTCATCATCACCAAGATTTGTTGACCAAAATTCCCGTAAATGAAACAATGTCATTATTTCGAATGTTTTTCACTGATATTCGAAATTCGAACGAATTTTGCTCACTCAACCAAATTCGAATGACCCGGTTGGATCAAAATAACATCAACAAAAAAGTATCCCATGGTAACCGTGATTCTTGGATACTCAAAAAAAAAAAAAAAAATGTCAAAAAAAAAAATTGAAAAAAAAAACTAAAAAAAAAATGAATTTTCAAAAAAAAAAATTTAATAA